CATTTTATTTATTTATTTTTTAATAAAATATACACAAAAACAAATATTCCAAGATGGAGAGCTTCGTGATTTTCTTACTGGTGTTCTGGACACATATACCAAAATACTACTGACCCTGTATTCTTCTTCTATGTTTCATGTCCCTTCAGGATGTTGGCCATCACGGCTCTCCACATTTCCTATCCTTTGTAGATCTTAATAAATTGCTTTTTGTTATCTCTCATAAAGCTTGTTCCACCATTCATTTACACAAGCCCACTAAGGAGGTTATGCATTGTTTTCCTCTGTCCCTCTAATTTTTCATCTGTCCTGTGAGTATTGAATTTTCCAAGCCCTCTTTCCTTATTCTGTGTGCTAGAAATTTCTACTGTCATTTCTTGATGTTAATTATAAGTCTCCTTTTTGTTTCCATTTTCTCTAAAACTTTGTTGTTGCTCACATGTTCAGTCCATGGCATCCCTCTATAGAACCACATTTCTGTTGCTTCATGTCTCTTTTTCATCTGTAAGTAGATTGTCCAGCATTCATAAGAGAATTGATATTATGTAACAGTTCAGCACTGTTTCTTTTGTTTCTAATGAAATTTTTCTATTTCTTAATGCACTATACCAATATATATTGTTTTTGTATTTCAATTTTCAAGCACAAATCCATTGTTCTTTTTATCTAACTTTTATCTGCAATAACTGGAATACACTTTTTCAGAATTCAGCCAAGTTTGAACTTTACCATATGACCCTTTGTTTCTTGGTATCTCTGCCCCTGAGAAAATATATTCTTTCCTTTTTTTAATCAAAACAATTTTGCCTCTTTTCCCTTATGACCATTTTCTCATGGCCTGTGAACAATTTCCTAACCCAAATTTCCTTTTAAACAATGATATCTCTCAGTGATTCAGCTTTGCCAAATTCATTCTTTTCTGTTGACAAGTGATAAAAAAAACATAATTTTTTTCTTCTGTTCAGTGGTGGTGGGGGGTGTTCCTTTCTCCGAATTTACAAAATCTGATCATGTATTTTCAGTATAGCTATCAATATAGCCACTGGCTCTTAAGGTGTCACATGTCCTTTGGTATAGCTATCAAACTATCTCTACAACCGTTAAGGTGTTACATCTTTTTCAGTATAGCTATCAATCCATCTCTTCAACCCTTAAGGTGTCACCTTATCAACAGTGCAAAAGTGGGCAGCTGAATTTAAAAGGAGAAGGGAGATTCTTGAAGATCATTCAAAGTCTGGATATCCTGCAATTGCCACAACTGAGGAAAACATTGATCATGTTCACCACATGGTGGTGGATGACAAGCAACTAACTATAAATCAAATAGTCAATGCTATTAACATATCTCATAAGAGAGATGAGAATATTCTGCACAATGAATTTGGCATGACAAAGGTTTCTGCTCTAATATGTCTTCTGACACTTTATCAAAAGTGCACCAGCTGGTTTCCTTGAACATTTCCTAATACAGGATGAGTGTTGAGTTCATCACTTCTTAGAGACAATCCATGCAGTGGTATCATCACTCCTCACCTGTTCAAAAGAAGGCCAAGGTTGTTTCATCTGCAGAGAAGATGACAGCCTCAGTTTTCTTTTGGCGATGCAAAAGGCATTGTGTTTATTGAATATCTTTGAAAGGGCCACAACATCAATGGAGAGTACTATGCCAACTTGCTAAGGCAGTTGCAAATGGACATCAAGACCGAATGCCCAAGAAAACTGATGAAAGAAGTGAAGACAATGGTCCAGAATATAAGTTCTTGGTTTCAATGGTTGCTGTGTAGGAAAGTGGTTTTGAACTGGTTGATCACCCCTCCCCCTATTTTCCTGATTTGGCTGCATCTATCTGTTCCCCAACATAAAAAAAAAACACTTAGCTGGAAACCAGTGTTGCAGTGATGATGACATCATATCTGCTGTTGATGACTTTTTTGACCAACAGGATGAAAGCTTCTTCGTCAATGGGATCCAAGCACTGCAACACCGAGGGAAGAAGTGTGTGAATCATAAGGAAGACTATGTTGAAAAATAAACCTTGCTTAGTCACATTCCATTCTTTTCAGTTGACTCATATGTACAGATTTACTGGATTATCTATAAAAATCAAACTCATTGACAATGTCTTGCAAGATTATAAACGGACCTACTACAGGAGGTTTTCTTTTATTTTTAATATTTACAAAGGTTCAGTTGGTTTGGTTCTTAGCTTTGATTTGCTAATAATCTTGTCAGTTTAGGTGATGACTTTCAGACTTATGAAAAACAGCTTTAATAAATTAATGTATATGCAAGTAGCATGGAAAGTGAATTTAGTGAGCCTGTAAAAATTTGAAACCCTTCCCCTAGCAGTAAAACGAGAGTTATCATCCTTGGAATGAGTTATAGAATTATATGAGTTATATAGTCAGAGTTATAGACATGGTAGAGGTCAGACATGTCCTGACTAATATCAATAAGTGGTGAATAAGAAAAATTTTACAATAACAAAGTAAATACACTAAGTATTGATCAGTGGCCTCGCCTTGCCAGAAATGTAGTTATTTTTCTAACTATGAAAACCCTATCATTGTAAGTACTATATTCATGTACATTCCTTGTTATGTTCATGTTAATAAAATGGTAAATGTTAATTTGAACATTTCCACTTTAATTCTCTTCATACCTTGAATTTATATGCTTAGGAGCTCCTTGAGATAAGGAGCCATTATCCAATAACAACCCAACATGTCAAGTTCAAAGTCTGCTACACTCATTTTACAATCAATGCTCTTGGGGAAGGCATGGACCCATCTCTTTTTTCTCAAACCCCAACTTAGATGGCAGCCAGTCTTGTAAAAAGGAAAACTCTGAATTCAAAACATTGAAGAAGGCAATGGAAAACCATTCCACTATTTTTTACCAAACAATCATAGCAATTTACAGATAATAATGAAAAAGAATCTACAGAAAGGGACAATCGCCTGTTTCCTAAAAGGACATGGCATTTTATAAAATGAATTAAATAAGTTTGTATTAGAATTTAATTTGAGAATCACTGTTACAATGTTTTTCAGGTTCAGCCTCTTTTCTGTTTTTTCCCTGACTATCACTCCTGCTTCCAAAACTAGCTTCCAAAGCCTTTATCCTTATCAGAAATAAGAATATATTTTCTGAGAAATGAGAGAAAAATATAAAAAGGAATTTGACCACCCCTTGGTGCCATTAAGTCAGGTAACGCTCACAATTTGTTGGACCCTTGCTTCCCAAACCAGCTCTCCAACTTTTGATTATTATCAGAGATAAGAATATATTTTTGTAAGAGTTCTTGGATTGCAAAAGAAATATTTGCAGCAGATTACTTCCACAACAAAGAGAACAAATTGCAAGTTCAAACTTGAATATCAGATGCAGAAAGAAACACCAAAATCTCGATTTACAGGTACTGTGTCACAAATTACAATACACATAACCAGAAAAATGACTCACTCACTGACAACTGCGGTAGACAAATACACAAATTTTGTCTTTTCTTCCGCGATTTGAGAACACCAACTGCTTTTATCAACCGAGGATTGTTTTTCATTCATCGACAACTGGGAGAGGATGCATAATATTAGAATATCCCAAATACTTTTACGGTGACTCCTGTGACTGACTTGTTTCTAATTTGAATATTCCGTCTTCAGCATATCATGCAGAATACGTACCCTTTTTTCGGTAAGTAACTTTCTTTTTTGCCATGTTTTCCATCGTAGGATACACACAACATGCTGTTGCTTGGTTTGATGAGGTAATTCTCTGTTTTCTTTGCTACAATTTTCTAATGGATGAGAGGGCCAGAAAAGTGTATAAGCAATTTTGGAGGGAAAAGTTCCCGATATTTCTGAGTCTCCTAGTCTTGATAAATGGCAGTGAGCATTTGATATCAACTGTTATAACATCAGATTGGCAACAGTAACCCTTGTCATCTTCAGAATCTGTTTCAAGGAAGAAATCTACATGCTGGGTTCTAAAGACAGAACATTGACCCTCTACTAAAACTATTCAAGATCTACTTCAATATGACTTTGAAATTCCTGTTGTCAGCCTATAAACTCACTCAATTATAAACTATGGATCTTCCAATTGTTTCTCCCCTCAACAAGAGCTCTGAAGAAATCTTATGTTAGTGTTAACCCCTTAAGAACAATTTACTTGCTTAAAGAACTTTTAGGTATACAGAGAAATATTTTTGAGCAAGCCTTTATATGAACCATTTTTCTTCCTTTAAATTAAAGGCATTTTCTTTTTTTAAACATTTTCTTCTATTGTTACACCCCAAACAGGAGTTTGAGTTTTTATTCTTTCACCTAAAAAGAGAGAATTGTCCACTCTAAACTTTCAAGCCATTGTTGCTTTTATTGATTCTGTCACCTTTGGCTTTAACGTTTCATGTGGGAATGCCAGGACAAATCACTCACAATTGAGACACCCAAATGTATCATTCATTGTTTTCTCTGTGAGAAAACAATGATACATAATTACTAATTGCTACAGAATTATCATATTGAGGAAAATAATGAATTCAAGAAGTAGATGAATAAATGATAAATTTCACAGAAAAATAAAAATATATGTTGCTAATTTTTTTCCCCCACAGTAATCAATATAATATGAATTACATATTTACAATATCTACCCATAAATAATTCTTAAAGTACATTTCTGTGGTTAAGGATTTTTTCCAGTTTTCATGAGAAAAATAAAAACGCACTGCACATATATATGCAATTCTAATAGAATAATCTCCCTTTAAGAATGTCGATCTTAAATGTTTGTGCAACTATCATTATTACAGAATACATTTAAAATATAAAACTTATGGACTAAAATTGGAGCTTAAATAAAATCTCAAAGACTCCTTTACTCTTCCCTCTATTGATTGGACTCTTCTTTTTATCACGTGGGTCAGCGGTTACTGCACCGCACGCCTGTTTTTCTCGGGTAGGGTTGACCTTCTACAAGAGAAAAAGAATAATTGAATGTTCGGGATGGCTGCTGTTACACGTGTCTCTGGTTGCTTGTGTACTGCTTCTTCCCTGCTCTTGAGAGGCCGCCCATCGTCTCCGTCTTTATTGAAGCCTGCATTTATTTTCTACTCTAGTCGGCTACTGTCTTCTCGTACGATGGACAATCTCCTTATAAACGACTCGAAATACGCTTGGCTTAAAGAACTTGGTCTGTCCAGCCACAATTACGGGGTTTACTACGGTAAAAACTGGTGTGGTAGCGGTGAGGTAAAAAAAAAAAAAATCTTTTTTCTTGGAAAGGAGGGAATTTTGCGCTTCATTTTCTTTGTCACGTCGTTAAGAAATGTTATCCATTTTTTTTTTTAAAACATGTTTATCTTTCTTTTATGGATAAAAGAGTGCAAAAAACTGAAATTTGCAAATGTCTAAATTAGAAAAATGAGAAACTAACATGTCGCACATAATTGAAAGTACATCGTGATCCGAAAGTCTTGTCACCCCCTACCAAAAAAAAGTGATGCGAACAATAGAACAATTAATTCAGTAATTAGTAATATAAAGCACATGTACTGGATTCAGTTTATTCACTTTTATTGACGCTGTCACACATCCAGAACGTCTATATGAACAGCATCATTTTTTTGTGTCAGCCATCTGAAATATCTTGTGTAAGGGTGACAAGACTTTTGGACCACCCTGTAGATTTTCTTGTTAAGTAAAATTATTACACAATTTTATTAATCATTAATTTAATAAAATTAATTTCATGTAACAAAAAACATTTTTTTTTTTTTTTTTTTTTTTATTTATCGCTGTTACAAAATTGAATTTACCTCGTCTTGGAAAAATGAAAAAAAATAGTTAAGAAAGCCTTAAGGGGACACATTCTTCAAATTTAGCCTTTTTGTGGGTTCACTGATCTTTGCATACCCCCCCCCCTCCTTTCTACTGTAATATTAATTAGTGTGACTTTAAAATAATGTTATGAAATATTGATATTCAATGATTCATAAACATTTTATTTTTAAATCATGACATGTGCTGTCAGTTGTTTTTACTTCGTTGCTAACACAGATTTCCGCTTCTAGAATCGCTTTCATATTTCCGCTAAAATTGATTTATATTGTGATTGAAATTAATGTTTACTCTTTTGTCTTTTTTATAATAAAACAACAGAGATTTTAAGTTTACGTAAACAAACAAGACATGCTCTGATTCCCTCTGTAACGGGGTGACAGTGACCCCCAGTCTCCTTACGCTTCGCTTAAGTTAAAAAAAACGAAAACAATTTTTTTCCCTTAGAAAGAAAAGGTTGCTTTCACTTTATGACAATATTCTATTCCGATGTCCCAAAATACCAAATTTTTCTAAAAATAGTTTTTTTTTATTAAACTTTTTAAAGTAAACAATGCGTTTTAGTCTGAGAAAGTAAATATCACCTTTTTAAACTTATTATTATACCTTAATTATTAAAGTTTTAATTATTAACTTCTTTCTAAAGTTAAAGAAATTATTTTCATAACGTTTAACGTCCCAAATTACTACACAGCAGTTGAAAATTGTTACAAAAACAAAACATCCGTCATGTACTCTTTCTGATCAGTCTTTTCTTCTGACGTGTATTTTTATTTTAATTTTAAAATGCATACACGACTCTATATTTTTCCTAACTACTTTTCAATACGAAAAAAGACTCTTCGTGCAAACTTTAGTTTTAAAGTAAAACTAAATGACATGGGAAGCACTTTCAATTTTAAACAAAATTAAATTAGGTTTTACTTTTTACAAAAAACCAGACCGTGAGAAGCTAAAGTTAAAAGGTCGTCAAACGAAACTTTCAAGAACTTGTAAGCTCTAAAAAAAAAAATTTTTTTTTTTTTTAAGTGCGCGAACCAACCTAAACGAATGTTAATTAACGTTAATGATATCAATTTAAAAAGGGGAAAAAGCTAAATTATTTTCAACACCTCAATCTGGACTACAAAATTTCTCTTCATCTTTGCTAATTTTTAAATTTTTCGCCAATACGGCTTTGGGTATTTTCCATTGGCATTAAAAAAAATATATGGAAAATTTTCTTTTAGTTTTAATTTAACCAACAAAATTATTCATGCGATACTGTTGATTGATTTTATCTTATTTTTTGTAATATTGGTAATAATTAATTTAATAATATCAGGTTCATCATTGTCCTAAATGACCAACTGTTTTTAATTTCTTTTCTTTTTTTTTTTTTTTTTTTTTCTTGGGACCCGCCGTTGAACCCTTTTTCTTTTCTTTTTTAAACATGACATTCATGGCAATTTACTCCTTTATGATTTTGTGATAAGTCTTCAATTTTTCTATTCTTTCACTTTAAATTTCTATGAAATACTATGTAATGTAGCGCATAAAAACTAAAAAAAAAAATTGAATCTTTTCAATTTTCATTATTCCAGATACAAAAACTCACTGTCTGTATACAAAAGTTTTTTTTTTTTTTTTTTTTTTTTTATCTATAAACTCTTTTCTGTACGACTTTATTTTTCAATAATTAAAATGGCTTAGACTAGAGTTTTTACGTTTAAAATCAATCCTTGTGAAATTATGAATTAGCATATAAATTAAATTACGTGTCTACGTACACTTTGTATAGAAATTCAGGAACACTGTGACAATGTGGAGTAAAATTAAAATTTCTTAAAAAATCACAATTTTTTTCCTTTTATCTTGTAAATGTGACATTTTTTTTGTTTACGGTTCAGTTTTTTTTTATTTTTTTATTTTATTTTTTTATTGAGCAGTGTTTTTTACTCAACAATGCATAAATTTTACTTTTAAAAGCTAAAAAAGGTATATTTTAATATGGGTAACTCCATGAGATCGCTAAAAAAAATCATTTCTTTAAGAAGCGAAGCCCTTTGAAAAGTATTTCTAATGTTCACTCATTTTAATTTAAAATAAATACTGCATTGATGCTGACACCGTTGATTTTTTTTTTAAGTTCTCCTCTACCAACTCCTAAAAGGTTGAAATATTGTAGCAGGATCTGCTGGGTAAGGTAGATGGTCTGCTAAATGTTTTCTTTAAAGCATCCCTTGTCTTGAAAGTCCTGTTGACAAATCTTTCCACTTCTTTTTTTTTTCTTTTTTTTTTTTTTTTCGATGTATGATCAGTACAGCATAGATTTATATTCTGCATTAATTGTTTGGCCCTTCTAAAAATAGTCAGACCTTATCTGCCAAAAAAACTGTCTATGACCTTTCCTACTTGCGTCTGGTTTTTGGATTTCTTTAGATATGGAAAATTTCAGTGCTGCCACTGTATGTCATTTTGTTTGGCCTCAGAATTATAATGGTGTAGCCATGTTTTAACACTGAAAGTTGTTTCAGAAATATCATAACTGAAAATGCTGCTAAAATCATCTTAGAAGTGTCTATTTATTTTAGTTTCTGATCAGCATTCAAATATTTTATTCATTTGGTTGAAAGCTGTTTATGAATTCTAATCCCAACAGGTTTCTTGAATGTATATGAGCAAACCTTTTAGATTTCTCTCACTGAAAATTACGTCATGAATATAAATCTTAGGAGTTGATTCTATTGAAGGTCTCTCTGGCCATGCAGTATCTTTTCATCACATATCTCCATGCTGGAATATGGTACACAATTTCTTTGATAATGATGGATACTAGTCACCAAATGTTTGCATTGTAACTTGTAGATTTCCTTTGGAATTTTCTTCTGTAGGAACAGTAATTTCATGATCATCCAAGAATTAAGCATTTGAAGATTTCACTTCTCATTTGACATGGTTCAATCAGTGTGATATAAAACTGTGAAAAAAATAACCAAAGATTCTCTTTTAACAATATAAAAATATTTTCCCCAGTTACAGGGATGAAATACTCCAATTTTTGGAAATAGGTTGAAAACTTTCATCACCTCCTTGTAAACTATATACTGTTAGATTACCACACCCCTCGCCCACCACCTGATAATAATCACAAGTGACAAGATTTTGAATTACTGCCCCCTAATGATAATTACAGGCAGCGTGAGATTTGAAAGGATCTTTTTTTTTTTTTTTTTTTTTTTTCTTAGGTGAATTTTTCATAGCAAAGACATTCTTTTTGCTCCCACCAATCTAAGTACCTCAACTACAGACATTGAAGGTTTCTTTGAACTCCTCACTTTCCATTTCTCCTTCTGTAAAATGTCCTATCAATATATTTGTTAATATTGTTTAAATTTTGTCTTATTTTTCCCTTGGGCTTGCACAAGTCTAAAATTTTTTGCAGGTCAAATATACCGGAAACATAAACTCAAGTGTTATTATCTATAACAGATACCTTTTTAAGTCTGTTTTATTTTACTTTTTTTAACACTGTCATATTTGATTTAAATATCTCTTTTTCAGTTGGTGACTTCTTATTGTCCTGCAAACAATCAACCCATTGCACAAGTGACACAAGTAAGTCGTTATGTGCCATATTTAGATAGGATTTTTTTTAAATTGCAGACAAATTTCTGAAAATGTTTAATTTTTCTTTTCTACTTAGTTTTATTTTATGCTAATCCATTAGATTTTAACTTTTAAAATAACTTCTACAAAAAGTTTTAAGACCAGTAAATGAAAATATTCAAGATGCAAGTTTTGAAAACTTGCAATGTTGTATGCAGAAAATATATTGAAAATGTACTTGACTTTGCTTTTAGGAAACAGATTTTTCTTTAGAGGACTCCTATTTCAAGCAAATATTCTTCCTATTACAGTATTTTTTTAATGACAAGAATTTGAATTTTAACAAATTTCTATTAACAAGAATTTTTTTTCTGATTCTATTAATGAAGATGTAACATTTTAAAATTCTTGGAATCAAAAAGCAAAAAAACACCCTAGTATTTTATTTTAATTAGTTTATTCTAAAAATTAGATTAAGTCTAGACACTCTGCTGGTTTATATATACCTATTATCTAAATTAAATTAACTTGGATCTTATACAGGATTTTTTTTTTTTTTTTTTTTTTTTTTTATAGAATAGTTCCTTTCAACTTTTTCATGAACAAAGTAAAAGTAGTTAACTATTCTTTATTTGGTCAACTTATTTTACTGTTTGTAATTAAATAAAAGATGAATAATTTTAGCAGTTGTCTCTTCAATATTTTTAATATAGTTTATTTACCCATTTGACTGATAATTGCCATTCTTTTACTTTTTTTTTTTTTATTATCATGTAATACACTGTGCAAATAAACTTATTGCTTCAACTATTTCAGGGCAATGAAGCAGACTATGAACATGCAATTGCAGCCACAAAAGAAGCTTGGAATGTTTGGGCAGATGTAAGTTCCTAACATATTTAATCTTGAATTCAGCTTTCAATTGTTGGCTGTTCAATCCCGATTCTCATCTTATTGGTCTTCTGTCAAGGTTGACTACAGAAGTTTCTTGATGCTACTGTCTGAGATGGTAGAGTGGTTTACCCAAATATTCCTTCACTCTATTTTTCATCTATCACTTTGTCTGGAGATGACAATGATAGTAGTTTGTGCTTGTATCCTCCCCATCCCCACAAAATATGAATTGTACCAACTTCATTTTCCATCCTCATATCAACTTGCGCACCAGACCTCTTCATAAATGTACCTCACTCTGAGCACAAAACAATGAGTGTGAGACACACAGCGAAGATCAATACCTAAGTCCAGTTTAATGACCTTACACAATGAAGTGCCCCTTTTAATATTATATAAGATTAAGATTTTAGTTAGGATAGTTTGAATTCCTATATTCGTAAGACAGGATTGTTTTTGAAAAAGTTGCTTCTCAATGTACCTCTTGTGTTTGGGTACCCATCTTCCACTTTCTGGATGTCTTTTAATCAGGTGCTGCCACAGAAAGGTTGATACCGAGGATAAATCTTGATCATGTTAATTCTTTATATCTGATCTATGCTGTTTACTTAAGAACTAGAAGCTCCTGATATGTCATTTGTGTTAAAAAAGCAACAGAAATAAAATGAAAGTTATTACATTATTTAATGCTTCATCTAAGAAACTCTAGTATTGTTGTATCTAAATAAAAATAGCTGGCCACTTGTATTCGAGGATACCAGTCTGTTAGGGCAGCTAACCAATCCCTATTGCAGACGCTTGCTCAGGCACATTTGTTTTCCACACCCACATGGTGTGGTTTATACTGCAACTATGCTGAGCAGACCTTACAGTTTCTGGGAGAGAGCATGCTCAAACAAGGCCAGCACACTTAAACCCTCAGTCATGATGGCTTGTGACTTTGTGCTAGCACAGCTATCGACGGTCTCCAAGGGTTCCGTCTATCCAATTTAACTCACGAGGCTTGGGTCAACCCATGGTATGGTTTTCAGGCACCTTTCCAAAGGTGCCGCATGCTGGGATTGCCCCCCCCTCTCCAGACTGATAACATCAGAAAGTCTCCTTCCTGACAAATCACCCATGGTGAGATTTAAACCAGGATCTCATGGTCAGAAAGCGAACGTTCTAACAACTCGGTCACACGCCTACTGTTGTATCTAAAACTGCTGGTGCATACATAGCTACATACTTTTTTTTTTGTTGTTTTTTGTTAGTGTTTATGGTAGGACTGGTATTAATCTTGCACAAAGCAGGGTGGGTCCTGCACACCCAACTCTGACATTAACGGTACTCAAAGTATAATCTAATTATACAAGAATCCTTTTTTTTTTTTTTTAACAGTGATGTTCATCCCTGTACAAGGCCTTGGAGCTGCTCCAGGTAGAGGTTAACCATAGACTTGAACAAGCTAAGATTGTAGTAATCAAGGAAAGCATTCTCTAGGGAGTCAGTTTCAATTCCTTTATGGGAAGAGGCTGCTCAAGTGGAACTTGCATCTCACCAATGGAATACATAAGGACTACAGGTGATTTGCTGCAATGTGCGTAGCATGGCAGGTCTTAGCCATGAATGTTAGAACTGCTGGAACTAATAAATGTAGTTTTCAGAGCACTTTCCATAGAAATAGCAATAGAGCAGTGTGACACTTATGTTTTGTCTGAGAATGGGGCTGTACGGTGGAAAATAATTTGTCACCTACAAGGACATGGTGATGCTTTTGAACTCTATGGAGACTGGAAAGTGAAGACTGAGCAGCTCCTGAAAGAATCCATTTTGAAACAAGGATCGCAGTTTTGGAGTTGGTATGTTTGAAGGTTTTGAGAGGAGCTTCTGCCATTTAAGATCTAACGCTATGCCAATCTTTCGTGATTAATTTTGATTATTCCCAAATTTATTTCCAACTTATAAAAACTATCGTACAAAAAAAAAAAATGAAAACTTGGGAATTCAAAATTTCAGAATTGCAGGTCCGAATTTGGCCCAGAATGTTTTTGCTTTGCTCATAGCTTTGGACTTATTCCAAAATGAGATATATTGGGCTACAGCCACTAGGAGTAAGGTTGAAAAAGTGACTCTAACATTCACATTTATTATATAAATATATCTATCATGTTTTTCCTTTAACCCCAGAAGGAGTTATTGGGGCAACAACGTGCTGAACTATTTACCATCATCCTCCATGTATCTTGGTTGTGTTTCAGTTCTCAAAGCTCAAACAAGATAGATTGGAAGACTAGTTAGGCTCTTTTATTGTTTCCCTTCTCTCTCTTTTTCGCTGCAATTATTAAATTTTGTACTCCTAGTAAAATGTCTTGCTTTTGACTGACATGTTTTAACACATTGACTGCCAACTACATGCTTGGCATTTTCTGCTATATTTTTAGCATGAATGTTAAAACTTGTGTATCTCCTTTCATGAAAATTATATCCATTGCATTTTCCTGCATGTGTAATTTGCATTTCTTTACACCAGTAGGAAGATAAATTGTTTAGGTTTAAAGAGTTTTTTTTTTTTTTTTGATCTTGGTGAACTAAAGGGAAAACCAAATAAAGAAAAACATTTTAGATCCTATGATTGTTCATCACATAGTCGAGTGTGGGTTTTCTGCATGAAAATCAAAGAACCAATGAGAAAGACCTTGAAATTGATTCTCTCACAAACTACATGAACACTGTAATTCCTTGTTCAGTTGTGAAGGCATTTCAATAACGACTTTACTTATTTATCCTTTTATACTCTAAAAAGGATGTGCAGATCGAGTAATGCATATCAGCTCGAAATGAGATTAGAAGAATCAAGTTCAAATTCCAGTCATTCGTTGCATTCACTTATGTGTAAATACTCTTGGGAAAGGTACGAATCCATCTACTCTCCCACTTAATGGGTTGAATAGCAAGACAGACTGGGCTTTATAGCATTGGTTGGCAACCAGTCTATTGCGGAAAGAAATTGCAGCCTACTGTGGGGAAACCTCTGCTTAGTCATGAATCAAAAGAGACATGATCACCCAAGTGTACATCACATATGGTATGGTACTTAACTGGCTTCAAAAGACAAGACTGCTCAATTTTAAAAGCTTAAACTTAATTGTAAATATTATCTCTGTAGCACTGATTAAAGGCATAAAATATTTCTTTATAAAACCTGTTAAATCGTATGAAGCAGGATTGATCAAAAACTGAATTTTATTTTTAAGATCCCTGCACCTCAGAGAGGTGAAATTGTGCGGCAGATTGGAGAGGCCCTGAGGAAAAAAATAGAATTACTTGGAAAACTGGTAAGTTGTATTTAAAAATTTTTTCTCCCCACACCCCATGATTTTTTTTTTTTTTTTTTTTTTTTTTGTTGGACTAATTAAAATTTTAATAAAAATATCTCCTCAAATTTTCTTTTGGTACTACTTTCCATATATGGATGCAAGGAATGTATTATATTTAATTCTTGGCTTGTGTGTAACTCCCCTCCCCTTATCTCTGCAGGAATCTCTGGAAATGGGCAAAATTCTTCCTGAAGGCATTGGAGAAGTGCAAGAATTTGTTGATATAGCAGATTATGCTGTGGGACTCTCCAGAATGTTTGCTGGTCATGTCTTTCCATCAGAACGTATGTAGCTTTTATCCTTCTACTTTTCCAATGACACTTGCACATTGGATCTGATTAAAATCTGTATCCATTGCTTTATAATAGATAAAACTTATGCTATATGTATTTTGTAATGACAAAATCTGATTTTTCACAATGGCAAAAAAGTATCCCAAACCTTAAAATCCAATTCTAACTAGCAAAACTCTCCAATGTAAATTGGATTAACATTAAAATGAAGAACTATTTTGTAGATTTTAGTGTTTTTCAAAGTTTGCAAAATAGACATGTGGTGGGAGGTGAGAATTTCTGCTCAAGCAAGAAATTATTCCCCAAAGACTTGTTGGTCAGATTTTGGGAACGGTAAGGATGAGGACTTTTCTGCATGCATGGTTGGTTAGTTGTCATTAGTATTGATACCAAGTTGATACCTGATGCCATCAGGAGGATCATTAATGAAAATTAAGTAGTACCGAGGATAGAGACCTGGGGGATACTTGTATTAGTACAAAAGTAGCTGTTCCAGACAACTTTCATTTCACAATTATATAAGAGACTGGATCGGTTCAAAAACTTGTCTGGTAACTTTTCAACTTATAAAAAAGACCAGTATGTCAAACCCTGTCAAATGCCTTTGATCTATCCAAAGCAACAGCCTGAGCTTCACCATTCTCAGCTAAATTTTGATAAACACTTTACATAATAATTAATACATTGGCAGTTGATTTAGAGAAACAGTCATATTGATTATCTAAAAAAAAAAAAAGGCCCTGCAATGTGAGATTCTTAACCAATTCCGTGTAGATTACGGCCTGTAGTAGTTTACCAAAAAGCGGTATGCAGCTAATAGTGATGGTTGGGAGGGTCAGGCAGTGTGCCCAAGACTGGAACAGATTAGGATTTCCAACAAGTAGGAAAGTAAGAGGCAGCAAGGCACTTATACAGTTTAGAGAGAACAGCCATTTTGGGAGCACACTTCCTAAGGACTCTAACGGAGATACCATCAGGTCCACATGCTTTATGGGGATCAAGATTAGAGATGATAGCAGAACCCCCCCCCTCCTTATTTTTCTGGGATCATCACGTTGGTTGAGTACTGGTATCTTCTACTCCGATTCATAAACCAAGTTATAATATACTGAGGATATTTGGACATAAAATAAGGGACTAGTTAAATCTTCATCCATTTAACATGTTTAGCTATTTAATTTAGCTTCATCAAATTTTTCTTCTGAAATAATGAAGTGAGAATTTAAAAATTGAAACTTTTCTTTTCATTGGTTCTGTAAATGTCACATGTACATTTAATGGCATTTGTGTTCTTGTTTGATTCTTAAAATAAAGTGTTAAAAATTGTTTATTAGTGTTTGTTTGTTTTTTTTTTTTGTCTGTATGTCCCAATAGATAGTAATGACAAATTTAATAGGTTCTAAAAGGGGACATTTTTATAAACACATTTTTATTTGAATTATGTTTGGACTGTGAATTTTAAATGTTATTGTATTCTATTAAGTGCAGCAAGAGGAAAATGAGATGTCTATTGAAGGCAACAATCTGTGAAAAGTGTCTGGAATTGGTCAGTTGGGTCTCCTCTTCTATCAAGACAATGCCAGACTTTACATTGCAGAAATTGGTAGCACTTGGATAAGGTGTCCGGCACTTGACCTTACACCCTCACTTACCACTTATTTCAATCCCTACAAACTTTTCTTCATATATACTTCAATTCTCTAGAAGCCTGGAAAAAAGAAAAAAAAAAAAAAAACTTAGGCCAGTTCTTCTTCGAAAGAAATATGCCAAATTCTGTTAAGATGGTATCCTGATGCTGTCTCAAAATGGCTAAAGGTAATGGAACAAAATAGCACATATTCAGTTTAATAAAGCCATGTACATGTTTTTTTTAATTTCATTTTAACACTATGATCATTTTATTTTTTGCACTCTCTGCAAGAAACTAATCTTAATGTTTAAGTACCTAGTATAATGCTAAATTGAAAAAAAAAAAAATGGTGATAATCATTTGCTTCATTAATAGTGAGAGTGGTTTGGTAACTTGGGATCACAGTAGGTTCTCAATCATTATAACCTTTTTACTTTACTTTTTTAAACGATCTAAGGATGATCACTCTCCTGATTACTTCAGGGGTGTGCTTGTCGAACTCTGTAGAGAGGAACCCAGATGAGGTTATGCCAAAGGGCAGTCTCGTCTGGGGTGGTAGACAGCTACCTGACCCTGTTTATATGGGGGTCTACGGTGAATTTTTGCCCAAGCCTATGGGCTCAGATACCCTACAATAAACTTGGCCTTGTGCTGCATCCGACCACATGGGGCGGTTAGTGAATATCATCTAAGGATGTAATAAGTGAAATAATAAACCTGACTTGCTATCAATAGTAGAATATTTGAACGTTGTTCCAACTTAAAAGAAATCATTACAGTTTCTCTCATATACTTACGGCAGATTCTTGCTGGCTGCTGGCCAGTATTCTTTAATGAATGTTGTATATCATGTTAAGGTAAGCAAATCACCTTGTGTTGTTACTAAGCTGTTATTCCCACTCCCTCCCCTACTACCATTTAGCCTCCATATTTTTCTTTTTTCAGCCAAAACAACTTGAGATTATTTCCTCAAACTATCATAGAAAGATATAACAAAACTTAAATTAACACTTAGTAATTTTTAATCTCTTACTAAGTCTTTTTAATGTTATTCTTCAGGGAAAGGTCATGTTCTTTTAGAACAATGGAATCCTCTTGGTACTGTTGGAATTATCACAGCTTTCAATTTCCCAGTAGCTGTTTATGGTTGGAATGCTTCCATTGCTATGGTTACTGGAAATACCATCTTATGGTGAGTTATTTATACTAGTAAGATTATTTTCTTTTGTCAAAATTGTACTTTTTCATAGATAACAAGTCTAACCCTTTGCACCTTGCTGTACTACTAGTAGTTGGTATCATGTTTACAATTAAACAAATATACAAATTCTTTCATTAACTGTAAACTTTTTTTTCTTTGTGTCTGTGTATAATTATTATTATTATTACTACTACCCAATACAAGGTTTAAGAGTCATTCAAGGTAGTGGTGTTTGAGTGTAAGAAAAGGCAGAAAGTGGCAGTTCTCTAAAGAAACTGTCCATATGGAACTTCTTACTAATGGAATACAAAGGGAACAAAGATTATTCACACTTTGTACATGGCATGGTACATCTGAGTTGGAAAAGTCAGGGGTTGTGGGACTAAGGACTGTAGTTCATTAGAGCACACACTGTGGAAATATTGAGAGGTTAGCAAAGTTTCATTTGTGGGGAAATTTGTTGTAGGGTGGAAAATAATTACCCATAAGTTCACATACACTTTTGAACTCTATCAAGACAGGCAAGTGAAGAGTGTGCAGCTCCAGCCCATATGTGGCAGCAATAATCTATTGTTGATACAGTTCTAGTGGGAGAGGAGAATAACATAATGTGCTCAATATGAACATACTGCAGGAAGACTTGACTAGTAAGACCATAAATGCTGTATATTTAAGTAAATGGTAAACGTTGTCAAGGCTGTGAATGAAAAGTCGTAGCATTTTTTTTTTAATATAATCTGTCAGGTTATTTTAGGAAAATTGGATTGATTTTTTATATATATATATATATATATATATATATATATATATAACATCCTTTAGCATTTTTTGCTGATCATTGATTTTTAGATCATTTGCAATATTAGCAAATTTTTTTCCTTAACAAGAATAGATGTTTTTTGAAGTCAATAGATTGTTGCATGGAGATGATTTTTGAGAGCTTAAATCTGTAAAGTTCTGCATCTTATATATATATATATATATATATATATATATATATATGTGTGTGTGTGTTATACTTTTTCTTGCGTTTAGAAACCAGAAGCTTTACAAATCCAAAAGTTTTAACTTTAAATTTTCCAAGATCTTTATAACAATTTTAAACATTATGGAATACAAAAATGTCTCAATGTCATAAAATTTAAATCAGTTGAGCAGGGTGGTAAAAATTTTAAAAAATCAATCATTTTGACAAATTTTTTTTTTTTTTTTTTTTTTGTCATTTATCCTATTTTTGTTGCTATCTATATTTCACCTATAGCTGGTAGAAGAAACTAATTTGTGTCTTTTGCAAGTGCATTAGTGTGAAAGTGAATGCAAACAGACTAGGCAGGAATTTGAACTTGTTTCGTTGATTCCATTTAATCATCCCCAATAACTATTATGCACATCACTGTTAAATGACAACTGGATTTTCATATTTTCAACTAAAATATTAGCAAATTTCAGCATCCATACAAATATTGTACATTTTTTTCCTCAATGGTCATTGCTGACGGAATAGAATTTGTTTGATTTGTGATGTTAGCAAATAAAATAAAAAAAAAAAAAAAAAAAATTCTAAACTGGCTTAACAATATTGACATTACCTGAACATTATTTCTTTTTATACTTTAACCCTTTGAGTCTTGTGTTCCTGAACAATTTTAACCCTTCTGCCTGAGCTCACAAGTCAAAGTTCACAAATAATTGGTATATAATGTTTCATGGTAGATATAAAAATAGTTACAAAAAATATAAGTATTATACTTAGCAGGGAGAGAGTATGATTGCATGCCTTCACTTTATCACTAGGATTTTTTTTTGTGTGTCCCAGTATACCCGAATAAGACGACCAATAGCAAAACAACACAAGTGTTTACCCACCATTTAACCAGTGGCTGGGCATTATCATTTTTTTCTACCACTGGTAAAGTGGTAGTCAGGGCTCAAAGGGTTAATAATAAATCCACACAAACATGTCTTTGCTTTTTGTTAAGGTTAGACTTGATAACTTATTACTTAGTGAGCATTTTTTTTTGCTCTCTTTTATCACAACTATTAAAGATGGTTTGTTTTAAGTAGTTGTAATAAAAAAAAAAAAAAAAAGCATTAAGAAATATTTACAGGACTCAGTACGGTGCATGATCATATTTTTAATGCATTTAAAACCAATGCTGTGAGTCTTTAATTGGCATTTTTATTCTCATAAAATTAAATCATTTCCTTCCAGGAAAGGAGCCCCCTCTACACCATTGACAAGCATTGCTACAACAAAGTGAGTTAAATTTCTCTAATAGACTTTTTTTTTTTTTTTTTTTTTTTTTTTTTTAGCACTAATAATCCTTGTGTGTATGTATCATCAACCATACATGTGGGCAGTTATGCGAAGATATATGATCAACCATACATCATTCAAACATGTTTCATTGAATAATATAAACATATATCTATTTACTTTTTATAGTGATCCTTTACAGTTCTCTAATCAAATTGTTAATGTTAAGATGAAGTTCGAGGAAGGTGCCATAGTTTTTCCCCATGCCCAAGTGCTTTTAATCTCCTTCAAGATTATCCTCATCGGTAAATTACAGACAAACTTATTTTAACTGTGATAAAATCTTATCTGAATGAAAAGGCAGAGGTTATAAAACTAGAAGAGCAAATTTTCATTTCCATCCCTTTCTTACTTCAGTTGATTGGCTTTCTCAATCATTTTTTAAAATGTTTTTAACAAAAATAAGCACTCCCCCCCCCCATCCTATGAACTGTTTCATAATTGTATGATTTGTAATTGTATCATGATTCATTGAGCTTTTCTCCTCCCTTCCTCACTGAAGATTTTTTTTTTTTTGTTTGTTTGTTAATGAATTTTAAGCAATATCATTTAATATTCATTATTTTTATCAAAATATATTTTCTTTATGATCAGTTATCTTGGCAAAATAATGACTATCAGTCTAATCCAGATAACCAATGTTGTGTGTGACATTTTCCACAGATATTAAACTGATTCTATGGAGAAATGCTAATCTTTACATAATATAATGGACATGGCCTATCTTCCAACGAAAGTCACAAAATTGCCTGTTCCATAAACACATGTAAATTACCTAGTATCTTAGGACTAACAAAATGCCTGTAGGTGGGCATGAAAAAATGTACATAACTCACTGAGGCACGCGTAAAAGATAGATTTTGTCTTTGGATGAGAAGGATTATGAACGGTGAGAAGTACGTTTTGAACAAGCCAGCTGTGGGGTTCAAGGACAAAGACATGGCAATGAGGAATGTGAAACGGATTACTACAAATATTACTACAAGCTATTTTGGCACCATGACCAACTGATTTGAACCCGAACTAATACCAGAATTTGACAGCTCTGATCCTGAACAATCCATTGTTGAATGGATAGTAATGGCAGGATTGATATGTTGGCTGTATGCAGTGAAAAGGATCATGTTTGTAGTCCCAATGTGATAAGTTTAGTTCACCAGTCATTTGTGATAACTGAAATGGATTAAAGTGCTTGCTTTTTTTTCTCCAGTCCTCCGCTCTACCAACTGAGTTATTGTGAGTGACCTCTTACTTGTTCTCATCCGTCTGTACGTACGTATGTATGTGCACCGACATGCCAACGAAAGTTCTCCCTCTTCCTCACACTCGTTATTTATGCCTGTGTCGCGACAACTAAAATTTGCATATTAGACTTAATCCTCATACGCCCAACACTTCCTAGTTTATAAATTCAAGCTGATTTGAATTCTTAGTCTTTTTCTTTGTACATATGCACACAAGAAAGGAATTTTGGAATAATCCATTTTACTTTTAATGGCAGTCGCGATCTTTCAGCAGGACCTGACACACCAAGCAAATTTGCTATGTGGGAGGTGAGTTTTCTCGTTCCTTGCACCTGATGCATCTAATGGGTGCTGCATATGCGGTGTATCAGCAGCTGAGTGAGAAAAGAAAAAAACAACTTCAACTGCATATATACAGCATTTGCTGCCGATTCATTCACAGTATTTGAGCGATTTGTGTCACAACAGTCAAAAAAGTCTGTCTACCAGAACACTGCTTAATATGTGCTTTCGTGGCCAGTCTACCAGAGCGTGTCCAGCAGCTCCTCCATAAATCCTGCTGAATAGACTAAATGGTTCTGGCTTGTGCAGGGCAATATTAAAGGATGAACCCATGTAAATGGAACAAGCTTTGGCAGCTGTAAAACCAATGCATGACTCAGTGGAAGAAATTGTGTATGCACCAACAAAATGTTGTCTGTGATGGTCCAAACCATATGGCTTGTGACCGCTTTGCTCGTCACAAGACCAAAAGACTGTCCTGACTATGACAATAAACTACATCCAACTGCAAGGCCTCTGATCAGGAGGTATTGAGGAGCGTGGAACCACCTCTTAATTGCTGGTATTCCCAGGTCCACCATGACCCGGGGTGGTAGGACCTGTTAGGGTTCCAGCTATGGGCAAAGAGTTAACACTCAAACTGGGGTCAAAACACTATGAAAGTGTAAAAATAGATTTTAATACCAGAAATACTTCTTTAAAAAAATGATTGCCAGCAATACATTTTTGAAGAAAAAAAATATTACCAGAAATATTTATGAAGGAAAAAAATATTACCAGCAATAAAAATTTTGTTGGCATTAAATGGCCCACTGAGGTTGATATGCCATAAAATAAACCAAAACAAACTAGACCAAAAGACGACTGTCTGAAGACCCCCCCCCCACAAACAAACCTCATATGCTTCTGGTGCAGGGAGCCAAGACATTTGTTGTGGAATTGTTCTGAAAAAGGACAAGGTGGGGAAGTCTACTGTGTCAGTCTTGCTTCCCCGGCAAAATGTGAATTTGGCGCTGCACACAATAGAGTACATGTGCAGAAAGAGAGGTGTTGCACTGGTGGATTCTGGGTGTTCTCAGACAACTGCCAGCAGAAACATGTGCCAGACATGGAAAAGGAAGTATGAAGTGATCACTCTTAGTGGAAAAACTTGCATAAGTGATGTCTGGCAGCTAGATCTTTGTGTGGATGGAACTGCAGAAATAGAGGCTTTGGTAGCACAAGAGGATACTCTTGGATTCGGAGTACTGATTGGCATGGATGCAATCAAGACCCTGGGTAAGGTTTCCATTTCAGTCAGGAGAGGTACACATCCTCTACAAACAAGCTTCTACATGGGCAATAGCAGCACTCTCCATTGAAGAATCTTATTGTCATGCAGATTTCGATCAGTAGTGAAATGATTGGACTGAATCATGGAAATGGACTGGTGGCAAAGCACTCTGCAAGCTGCGAAACTGAATTGCAGAGTACGCCATGTTAACAAAAGTTAGGAAATCCTATGAAAAGGAATTGTCAATGGATTGAGAACAGCTGGCTTATTCCCTACTAGCAGTAGAGCCCGGCGTTGCCCGGGGACATAACAGTAAGAGATAGATCAAGTATCGACCATCATAAAGACTGAAAAATAAAATTGACAAAGATTATTGTTTAAGGTTGACGGACACACATGTCTTAATTAGTTTTTTTTTTTTTTTTTTTACGAATTGGTCAAACTCAAACAAAAACATTGTTTTCAATCGTTATGAGTCTCTCGATTGAATAGAATTTTATTATAAACAATTGTCTTGTAAATGGAATTTTTAAAGCATTCTGAATGTAAAAATAAAGAAAAAAGTGTGCAAGACAATAAGAAACACTACCTGCCAAAAAAAAGTGAAGTTATGTTGAAATCGGTTGAAAAATGTAGGGAATCCGATCCCATATATAAACGAACACACAACCTGGGTTTTATAAGTATAACTTGATATGAGTTGTCCCCCTTTCATTCTGGCGACAGAATCGTGTCTTATCACGTTTTCAAATTGATTTCGTGCAAAAACAATTGTTTTTCTAATTTTTGGCACTGTCACAACCACCACAAGGTAATTTTACGGAGTCCTGTGAAGTTCTGTTGAAATCGGTTGAAAAATGTAGGAAATCCGATCCAATATATAAACGTACCCACGCATAATCTGCATTTTATAATAAGATGACAAATGAAAATTTGGATGCCCAAAAGGGCTTCTTCCATTGATGGCCATTGTGTAATGAAACAAATCAAAGGTGCGACCCGTAATGGATTACTGGGAACTTAACCTCAGTTTACTGGCACAAACATCAGCTAAGTGGAGATGGCAAGTGTTAAACGTGGCACTATGGACCTCATATCTGCCTACCTACAAGTGCATGTTAATAACTTTGGCTGTACCAGACAGTTATTTTCCAAGGCAGAAGTTATTGCCTAAATAGATTGGGTTTTGTGCTGAATGTCAGCAAACACCCAGATAATAAAATTCATTGTCAAACCAGTGCGCTATCTCGGGCAGAAAACATCAAAAAAGCAAGCTCAGTATATATTGACAACCTCTGCATAACAAAAAATATCACATCCGTAAATCACATTACAGGACACTTGTGATGCTTTGGACTGACAAGAATCTGAAGTGGTCAAAAAAATGGGGCTAGGATATTTGGCTTTGCTCTCTGGAGGAAGGATAGTTCCCTATGATAGAAATGTGGCAGTGTGCTTCCAGGTAGCCCTAAAGTGGTAACTAGAAGAAAGGTGTTCTCTTTTTGTGACAGGCTTGTTGGACACCTTTCAGCATGTGGATGGTTGTGGGTTGTGATCGGTGTTATCAAGCAAAGAGCAAACCCTGTAATGAAAGGTTGGGATGATCAAATGAACAACATCCCACTTAAAAGAAAAGCTAACAGACCAGTACCTGAGTGAAGCAGGCTGATTTGTGAAAAGGCAAATAGTGTGTTGATAAAGAATTTACTGTGTGGCTTGATGCAAGTTCTTCAGCTACCAGAGTTAAAATGGAATCTGGTGGATCCAGAGTCAGACACAATATATTGACCTTGCAGAATTGGATTCAGTTATTAGAGAAGTCAACCTAGCCAGACAATTGGTGGCAAAGACCATACACCTAAAAAGAGACTCACTAGACGTGTATAAATGGCTCACACACACTGACCAGCAAAGCTCAGGTAAGCACCCAGGTTGCAGGTGAAATATTGATCAGAAGAAGGCACCAAATCTTCTTGGAACTAGTCAAGGGAGTTTGCTTTGTCAGTGGCTATTACCCTTGTCAGGTCGAACCAAATGAGGCAGATATGGAAGCGGTTGGAAATGAAAAATAGTCAATATGCTGCAGTGGAATGGAATTCAGCCAGATTAAGAAAATACACCTGCACTATGGACATGCTGGCGATAGACAAACAACCTACTACATTAGCTGTCCTGGGTATGGTGATAAACTACATCCACGTCCTGGGTAAGACGATAAACTACGTCCAACACCAAGGCCTCTGATCAGGACGTTTTTTAGGAGCATGGAACTACCTCTTAATTGCTGGTGTTACCAGGTCCACCCTGACCTGGGGTGGTAGCACCTGTTAGTGTCCCAGCTATGGACAAGTAGTTAACCCCGAAACTGAGGTAAAAAGCATTATGAAAGTGTAAAAATGGGTCTTAATACCAGAAATACTTTGTAAAAAAAAAAATAAAAAAAAAAAAAAAAAAAAATTATTATTACCAGAAATAAAATTTTTGAAGAAAAAAAAAAAAAACTATTACCAGCAATACATTTTTGAGCAAAAAAACTGTTACCAGAAATAGATTTTTAACACAACATTACCAGGAAAAAAAGTTGTCAGCATTAAATAACTGATTGGTGTTGATATGCTGTAAAATAGACCAAACCAAACCTACTTCATTAAGACAATTGCCTATCCACAACAAAAAAGGCAATCAGATTGGCAGTTAGATCCTGTTTCAAATGTCAATCATTTGATCCAGCACTGATCCAATGGCAGAAAGGGGAAGCTGGGGACAGCAGGTGTATTGCAAAGACTGTGGATCGACATCATTCATTATAGAGATGCCCATTACTTGACTCTCATAGATAGTAGGCTTTCCTGGTTTGCCATTTATCAACCCTTAGTGCAAGAAGATTCTTTCTTGAATGGGCTACTCAAGGAGATCCTGACAGACAACGGCACAGCGTTCAACAACATTTCAAGACCTCTGCCTGCAATTCCAATGTGCATATGCACCATATGGAAATGGCATTGCTGAACACTCACACAGAACTATAAAGTGGATCACTGCTAGGAAGCAATGCATTGGTACATTACACCAAAGGATGGTGTTCAGTGAGGCTGCTCCAACCAATGTGTTGTACTCTTACAAAGTTTGGGTGAAAGGTGTTAACATCTCACCACTGGAGGCTGAACCTAAACGGGGGAAAAAAAATATATATTGTGCTGGTAAAAACATCACCCAATAGATGTGCAAGTAAATATAGATATGGAACAGTGACCCGAGTCACCAGATAGTCTACATCGAAGGAATACCATGCCACATGAGACCTTTACTATCTCTTAAGTAGTAGGCATCCCTATGAAGGTTGAGGTCACCACATCAAGTGATGATGGAATGTGTCTATCAATGGTGAGGATAACTGTGAATGATGGTGAATCTGATCAATCAAGCAGAGGTGATGGTGAAGAGGATCAGCAGGTCATAGCAGAATCTGTTGAAGAGGAGAGTGATCCTATTGTACCAACACTTCCGGGAAGCACCTGACACAAAAGGATTCCTCACCACAACCTCCCAAGTGGTATATGTGATCATAAAATCAGTGGGGGATTGTAATGGACATGGCCTATCTCCTCATCAGTCTATCCAGATTCTCCGTCCTGGGTATGATGATAAACTACATCCAACAGCAAGGCCTCTGATCAGGAGGTTTTGAGGAGCATGGAACCACCTCTTAATTGCTGGTGTTCCCAGGTTCACCCTGACCCAGGGTGGTAACACTTGTTAGGGTAATAGCTATGTGCAAATAGTTAACCCCTAAACTGGGGGTCAAAACACTATGGAAATGTAAAAATAGTTTTTAATACCAGAAATACTTTGTAAAAAAAAAAAAAAATATCAGCAAAACATTTTAAAAAAAAAAAAAAAAATTACCAGCAATAAAAATGTTGTTGGCATTAAATAACCCATTGAAGTTGATATGCCATAAACCAAACCAAATCAAAATCTATCCAGATTTTAGGTGAAAAAATAAAATCCGAATGTCATGTCCACAAATTACAACACAAAGAAATGCTCTTTGCAGAAAAGGAAGAAGAATGACTATAACATTTCTACAGTAGATACATGTATTTATATAATAGAATTCAATTGTCTTTGTTGTGGTCATGAAGAAACCAATAGTTTGAGTGTTGAAAGTTATCTTGTTGCAAATGGGCCTGCAAAGTTCGAAATTGTATGCATGTGGCACATGCCAATAAAAAGTATGTGACTGCTGACTGGTTGTGTATGATAGCAGTGACCAAAGAGGATATATAGAACTTGCTTTCGTCGAGGCTTTGTATGTAGAAAGATCATCACTGACTGACACATTGTCATGGTAACGTGTGTTGCGGCTGGGCCTATTCCCTGACTGTTCCATTTCAGGTATGGCCTTTGACTGTTACTGACAAGTCGTTTTTATGACTTATGGCAAGTTGGTGACTGGCTCAAAAATTCTGATTTTTGGTAGGAACATACTCTGTGGCCCAAACCCTGACCTATTTCCAGGTCATTTGGAGTTCAGCTGCACAGACATCGTAGAGAGCACACCACGTGACTTGCCATATTCAATCAGGTTCCAGAAACCAATTATTTAGTTTTGGAGCTGTTTTTTTTTTTTTACGTATCTACCAATTTTAATTGTGTGTGTCTCTTGTTTGTGCTTCACTTATTGGCTGTAAAATATAGGAATTTATCTTATAATATAAATTACCTAGTGCATTAGGAATAATAAAATGTCTAAGTGGGCATGAAAAATATTTGCATAACTGATGTAACACCTATCCTGACCCTACTGGATCGATGTACTCTACAAGACCGGCTGTTGGTCCTGTCCTGGTCTAGTATTACAGGTTCAATCAGTCTCCAGTTAACAATGTTGCTTCAATTCCACTTTCCAGCCATGTTCTGATTTTTTTTTTTTTTTTTTTTTTTTCTTGGAGAGCAGTTAATTTGTAGGTCCCTCGAGATTCAGCTGGACTACCTGCAAGTTCGTTGGGGCAAGAATCGGGCTAAGCAGAAAAGTAAAATATGAAAAAGTTGATTCGAGTTCAAAGAAAAATTTATGTATATAAGAAAGAAATTAGTACAAAAAGTGTAATGCTTCTTTTACAAGAAAGTAGTGTATATGAAATAAAGTCCAGAAAAAAAAAACAAAACCATATTGCAAATAATCCTGAAAGGAGAGAAGTAGTTTTTGGGTTCAATCATTTTGTTCTTAATGGCAACTACTATCAGGATATAAGGGGGTTCACTGGCAGTATTGCGCCAATATTGCAGATAACTTGAGTTAACTTACTCCCTTATTACAGCAGTGAGTGGACACTCACTCTTATTGCCTCTCTCTCAACCTACTTCACCCAACTCCAACTCTTTGTTTTCACACAAACATGTGCTTAAATAAACGTGGTGGTAATGACAAGAACCTGGAGTGTTGATTAACTTTGAATACCAACCTGATTACTGACCTCTCCCCCTTCATGATTAAATGAACAGTCTCTTCTCAAATGGTATTCCATAGTTCATGTAAACTCTATTGTTTTGACATTTTATATTAATAATTCTGATGAAGCACAGATTCTCTAGGTACAAACTTCACTACAAATTATTTTTCTCATCTAAACAAAACTCTATTACTATAATTATTAATATTTCAAGGGTGATCATTGCTCTCTGCCACACTGAGGCACACATAATACCTGGCAGATTTTGTCTTTGGATGAGAAGGATTGGTCCAATTCATAACTGTAATGCTAATTTATACAACTTTCTCTCCTTCCACACAGTCTGTTATATCACACTTTCATCTTCAGGTATGTCTTTGCTCATAAAGTCCAACTCCAGATGAACAACTGGTTTCTCCTTTAGGAATCTCTTGGATTTGTACAGAATGTTATACTGACTACCTCCCATGAGAGAACAATTTTTGAGCTTGTAAAGCACAGTTATGCTATCTAAAAACTGCTTTACTGTCATATTTTAAGGCTGTAAAATAGGTTGGCCAAAACTTTGTGGTAATAGCTCAATAAAGTTCAATAGTCCCCTAGTCTTCTCAAAATTAGAAAAATTAAGCTGAATTTATATAATTAACTAGAGTATGAAATTGGATTCTAAATATTGTCTGAAATTCTTGTTTTGTTCAAATGAATTTTATTGAAGAAAAAATAATTTAAAATTTCTATAATATTTGTTTCTTATAATTTGCATATTTCTCTTTGCAGAATTATACAGTCTGTCTTTGAGGCTAACAATCTTCCTGGTGCTATAAGTTCTTTGGTCTGTGGTGGAGCAGATGTAGGGTGAGTTACAATGAGGAAATAATTTTGTAATGTAAAAATTATTACATTCAAATATATCATTGTCTTCTTGGTCGAGGACAACTTAATCTTGGGAGAGATTATTTCGATTTGAGATATTCAAAAATATTTAAATAAGTTGAAAGTTTTGATCAAAAATAAAATATTCCCCCTTTTTTTTTTGGTTGTTGTTCCTTGATAGTCACAAATCTACATAACTGTATTGCAGTTGTAATAAATTTAATGTTTTCTTTTAAATTCTTAAAATCTAAAGTCTTTAATAACTTTTTTTCATTTCTTGCAGTACTTTAATGGCTAAAGATGAGAGGATTAATTTGATGTCTTTTACTGGCAGCACTGAGGTAGGTGTATCAAACATGGTTTATGTATTGACCTTTTTTTTATTATGTTTCTCACCACACTCCTCACTATATCCTCTAACTCTTTCTTTATCTATGAAGAGATATCAATCTCTCTAACATCTCTCTCTCTCTCTCTAACATCTCTCTCTCTCTGATTAAATTATTCTCTCTCTCTTCTCTCTCTCTTAAACTCTCTCTCTCTCTCTCTCTCTCTTTTATCTCTACTCTTTCTCTGGAGAAATATGTTTTAAAAATAAAAAAGATTGAATTCAAAATGATAGAAATAAATTATCAAAATCATTTTAAATAAAATTAATAAAACCCTATACTGTTCAACTAAATTTGTTTTTTGTTTTAATTTTTTTTTTCATTATTTTAAAGTCCCTCTTTCTTTCTGAGTTTCTGTGGAGTGTTTGGAGGCCAACCCCTTATGTATAGAAGTAGAAGAGATAATGTTTATCCCTAGCCTTGAACAGGTTATGATTGAAGTGATTGGGGAAACATCCTGTTGGGAGTCAGTTCCACAGGGCAGTGGTTTGTGGGAAGAAGCTGTTCAAGTGGAACTTCCTTGTCATCAATGGAATACAGAGGAAATGTAGGTAGTTTGGTACTATGTACACGTCATGGTGTGTCCTTGCTGTGAAGGTTTGAGTTGGCTGGACCAGGGAATGTACTTTCTGTGGAAGTAGCGGTAGAGCAGAGAGGGGTTGAAGGGTGGAAAATACTTTGTCACCCACAAGGGCTTAGAGACCCTCTTGAACTCTATCAAGGCTCCAGAGTGAAGGTCTGGTCAGCTCCTGCCCAAATTTTAGAAATCTCCACTTTCTATTTATAGACATTTATAATTTGTAAATGTTAATCACTCATTAATCATGAGTGTAATTTTTTTATTAAAGTATCGTCACTGGGATTCCATTATGTTGGCAGGTGATGAATAAAGAACAAGTCAAGGGAAATTACCCTGTAAATAAGTTAACAGGCCTGGAGTCTTCCCTTTGAGAAAATTAACACTTAACAGTGAGCCAATGATACTGATTATTTACTATTTGACACTGGATATGAAAGCTGGGTTGGATCTAAAATTTATAAAATCACAGCAACAAGCTGCACTCTTTCATACATTGTGTGTGGGGTAGGTAATAAAACTGGTCAATGTGAATCTGGAGTGCATGCATCTGTGTATATGTGAGAATGTCATATCAGAGTAGAAAATTCACCACCACCATCAAACACAAATGAACATAAGTAGATCCAATTAATAAACCATTTTGTCTGATGATTGCAAAAGCATGAAACCCAAACTAATATCCCTACAATTGTATATGAGTATATATAATATATTACAATATCTAAAAATAGGGCTATAAATTTATTGTGTTTGTGTGTGTATAAACTTAATATAACAATTAGAGTATTGATTTTCTGTTTAATTTTGCTATAAAAATATATTTCTAGCATTTGTTTTTAATCTAAATGTTATTAAATGTTCACTTACCTTTTAGACATGCTCTACAAAATATTGAGCACTTTATCCCATAAATATTGCACACCTCAAGACCATTTCTTCATATATATATATATATATATATATATATATATATATATATATATAGGCTAAAATAATACAACATCTCAAACCATACTTGTATACAAAAAAATACAAACCCACAACCACTAAATAAATAAATAAAATAAAATAAAAATAAAAATTTAGGGTCAGGGGGAGAAAAAAATAACTCTATAAGGGGTGGGATACTGTAAAATCAAAGCAAATTGAGACTGGATATTTTTTTCTTCTCCAAGTTTGTGTATTTAAATGGTATTTAAATTACAATGTGCTACTTTGCTATGATTCTAGAAATGGCATCATAACAGTGAAAATGTTAATCAACCCCATATGACAAGACTGAACTTTGCAAATTATTTAGAACATGAATTTTTGCAAAAAAAAGTTTCTTTTGTTCAAAGTTGCAACCTTTTAGCAAGGAAAGGAAATAAAATAAAATGAAAACATTGGTTCAAATAATAAGACTTTGTTTGAAAACAAATGTTTCCACCTTCAGCCTTATATGTAATCCCAATAAGAGCAGGATATAGGAGCCATATGTTCAACCAGTCATTGCTAATTGTGACACCCACCAGTGGTCGCGGTCACAGTCCAGCGCCAATATGTGACCTCCACTGGTCGCGACGTCAATATATGACACTGTGCTGTCGGCCCGTGGTCATCTCCCAGTTGCGGCATGAAGCTGTAAGGTTTCTTCCACCAGCGTTTGGGGTTGACTCGTTGTCGCCGCCATTGCCATCCTGTGTCCTGGTCATTCTCGGTTAAATACCAACTTGTCGTTCCCAGCTCACTTCCAACATCTGGTTACCGAAGTAACTACTTTGATCTCAAGTCTAATCTACCCACGTTGTGACTTTGATCTTAGGTAGACGAAATCAATCAGGCATCGGGCCGTAGTGCAAGCTGAATCCAGGGTAAAGGTGATACCGCACAAGTGTAAGTAAAAGAAAAATAATAAAACAAACTCATGAGGTTCAAATATGTTGAGAAACAACAATTAACTTTATCTCTGTTGAATACAGGAGTGTTTCTCTCCCGGCCCATTTCTACGAATTCGTGTCACTTTTTTGCGTTTCTTAAGCAAGTTATGGTATCTTAAATCGTTCGTCAATAAAAAGTTGCTTTTGGTAGGAAGACTAAGTCAAAAAGGATATGGAAATCTTTCGGTCAGCTTCTGCGAGGCAACACTCAACTCCGCTACTGTCTCTCTCTCTCTCTCTCTCTCTCTCTCTGCCAAAACTCTCTGCAGCTGCCTAGAGATGCTTGTTTATATGGACACCGACCAACTCCAGGGTGGGGCCTGACATGGTTTGGGTTCTTTGACAATTCTTAATTCCCAACAAGAATTCTCTTTGTTCTTAGGCCAGGAAAATTAGTTACTTCCACTTTTGGAAGATTAATCACTTTCCACTTCAGGATTTCTCTCTCGTCTGTGAGGGAAGGTCGGAGGAAAGTTATCCTCGTAGACTCTTCTCTCACATTGGTATCTCATACTCAATCCCCTTAGCCAATGATCTCTTGGCAGTGTGGGTGTGGCTAGACTGGCCCTCATGTTTACAAAATCCTTTTTCTTTTCTTTTTTTTTTTTTTTTTTTTTTTTTTTTTTTTTTTTTTTTTCTGTTCCTTCAGCCAAAATATTTACAATTCCCAGATTGCGTAATGCCTGGACCTCTATCGACTCATTAATTGCTGTCAAAAAACCCGACATCTGGGTTCTCTGCTGGTCAATCCTTCAATTGGGTGACCATGTTCCCCCGGACAATTAAATCAGGAATTAGTCAAATGATATCTCTCAAAAGATAATCAATGGCCACTCTCTAGGGTGGTCTCAAGCTGAAATTTTTTTATGGCCGCATGTGTCGGTCAACTTTGTTTATCTTTCTGAATTCTTTTGTTTGACGCGTCACTCCATTATCGGGACATTAATTAATTTGACAGAATCAGTCTCGCTTTTTCTTATTGATTTTCTGTCTTTTGCGAAAAGTTTCTTCCTTTTTGTAAATAAAATAAAAAAATTTTTTTTTTTTTTTTTTTTTTTTTTTTTTTTTAAATGTTTCTCAATCTGTCTTTCGGTATAGCTCTTTCTCGCCTTAAGTAGTTCCTGTTCTTAATTTCTATGGTTAATTAGTTAGCCAATTACCATAGATAAATAGTGTCACATAATAGTTACTCAGAAGTGACAGATGAAGTCACCTATCTACTACTGGAGAGAATACTAGATCAGATTTAGAACGCCATTGAAATAAACAACAAATTGTGAACTAGTTTTCATTTCTTGTAGGAGTTTTTTTTTTTTTTTTTTTTTTTTTTTTTGTCTCCACCCAGCTTTTTAAGGGGGGGGGGGAGATTGAAGCTGCTGACTTCTATGATCCCACAGTATTTTTGTTTAATATTATACTTTGTCTGTTTAATGAATATACATAAAATTACATTCTTATCTATCCCCAAATTATTGAGTTTACAAAAATATAAAGTCTTTGATATTTTGATACAAATACTAAACCTGTATTCACCAGGCTTTTTGCTTTGAGAATTTGAAGTGTTTCTTAAAAATTTTTTTTTTTTTTTTTTTCTCTCTCTCTTCAGGTTGGCAAGAAAGTGGCTCTAATGGTCCATGAAAGATTTGGTAAGTTTATTATAACATTTAAAACCAACTACTTATAATCAGTCATGGACCACCCTTGGTAATTTATATTTATTTAATCTCTAAAGAAACTAGAATTTCTCTTATCCAACAAGTATGTATCATCTATGAAACAACAGGAAATTTGGTAATAGATTTTGGTAAAACATTTGAGATGATTTGTGTAAAAAGGTTTCTTAGCATGTATAATTTAATACAATACACTTTAGTTGGATATTTTGTTGCTTAAAAGTAAAAGCAGACATTAAGTGGTGTTGTACAGTGAAAGTATTGACTTTCACTTGGATTTAAAAAAATAAAATGAATAAAATATTTTGTGGTTCATTAATTCCCATAATAAATGATACCTACTAATATATGTTAGAGTACTATAGGATATAGGTGCTGAAAAATATTAGGCTAGTCCACTTTCCAAAATCTAAAATGAAACTGGATTTTGAATTCATTCTTGGCCAGACCATTTCACCACCCCTATCATAGCAAAAGCAATAAATTGTGTGCGTGCATGCACTATATATATATATATATATATATATATATATATTAAATGATACCTGGCAGCTAGCCAATCCCTATTGCAGATGCTTGCTCAGGTGCATTTGTGTTTATTCAACACCTACAGAGCCAACCTATGGTTTATACTGCAACTATTCTGAGTAGACCTTAGTTACATTCTTGAAGAGAGCATGTTATCTAGCATGATTAACAATCTGAACAATGCCAGCACACTGAAATCCTTGGTTACAATGACTTGTGACTTTGTGCTAACACAGCTATCAATGGCATCCAAGTGTTCCGTCTACCCAATTTCACTCACAAGGCTTGGGTCAACCTGTGGTATGGTTTTCTGGTACCTTTTTATAGGTGTCGCACACTGGGACTGTCCCCCTCCAGACCCATAACATCAGGAAATCTCCTTCCTGACAGATCACCTCTGGTGAGATTCAAATGCTGGTCTCATGGTCAGAAAGTGAACGTTCTAACCACTCGGCCATGCACCCATATATATATATATATATATATATATATATATATATATATATATATATATAAAAATTGTAATTTACATATACTTGGATATTGAAAATAATTTTACTTACTATGAGTAATATTCCTTCTGTTATAAAGTAATATAGTCTAATATAACTAACAATGAAAATATTTCAAAAGTTTAAAGTTTGTAATTTTAAAATTGAAACTAAAATTAAAGTTAAATTGAATGAATTCTAACCTAAATTTCTTTTAAATAATACTACACGCACTAAAAAAAAGAATCCCAAAAAAGCAAATATAGTAAAATAAAATTAATATGAAATGCCATAAGATGTAAGCTTTTGAATGACCCATGTCCTTTGTACTTACATGAGAAACATTATATCACTAGGTTTATATTATATATATATATATATATATATATATATATATATATATATATATATATATAAAAAAAATGTAACCTCATATACATACTTAAACTTGAATTAATACATAAAGTTTACTAATTCTGAGAAATGACTTAGATAGTTTTGTAGTCTGGGCCATTAATATTACTTAAATAATATCTAAATTAAAAGTTTAAAATTGTAATTTACATATACTTTGATATGAAAAAAATTTTTACTTACTATGAGTAATTATCCTTCTGTTATAAAGTAATATAGTCTAAATTAAAACTAACAATGAAAATATTTTAAAAATTTTAAAGTTATAATTTTAAAATTGAAATTAAAATTGTAGTAAAATAAAATGAATTCTAACATGTTATTTATACATACATATGAAACTTTATTAATTAGGTTACATATATTTGAAATAAATAAATTAATTAATTAATAAATAAAGTTTACTAAATCTGAGAAATGACTTAGCTAGTTTTGTAGTAAGTGCCATTAATATTACTTAAATAATATTTAAATTTTAAAAAAAAAAAATTTACATATACTTTGATATGGAAAATAATCTTACTTAATATGAGTAATTTTCCTTCTGTTATAAAAGTAATATAGTCTATTAAAACTAAACAATGAAAATATTTTAAAATTTTAAAGTTATAATTTTAAAATTGAAATTAAAATTAAAGTAAAATAAAATGAATTCTAACATGTTATTTATACATACATATGAAACTTTATTAATTAATATATTTGAAATAAATAAATTAATTAATTAATAAATAAAGTTTACTAAATCTGAGAAATGACTTAGCTAGTTTTTGTAGTAAGTGCCATTAATATTACTTAAATAATATTTAAATTTTAAAAAAAAAAAAAATTCTTTTAATCTTACTTAATATGAGTAATTTTCCTTCTGTTATAAAGTAATATAGTCTATTAAAACTAAACAATGAAAAATTTTAAAATTTTAAAGTTGTAATTTTGAATAATTAAAATTGTAGTTAAATTGAATGAATTCTAACCTAAATTTCTTTTTTAAATAATACTACACGCATTAAAAAGAATCCAAAATAACACCTATAGTAAAATAAAATTAATATGAAAAATACCATAACATGTAAGCTTTTTGAATGACCCATGTCCTCAGTACTTACATGTGAAATATTTAATAATAGGTTTATATATAAAAGAAAAGTTTACTGAATCAGTGAAATTAAGTAACCATTTCTGCTGTCATAGTCATATAAAAAAAAAAAAAAAATGTAACCTCATATACATACTTAAACTTAATGTTAAAATAATCCTACATAATATAATGGATTCTAATACATTTAACTGTTCTTAAAAAGAATATAGTAAAATAAAAATTAAAAAAGGAAAATATTTCAAATCGTAGTTAAAAAAAAGTATTGTAAAAAAAAAAATCTTTAATTTTAAAGATGACGTTGAAAATTTTTTTTACCGTTAACAAATTTTTTTTTTTTTTTTTTTTAAATTCAGACGACATCCATTCAACCGACGTCAGGTTTCAGTGTAAAATACAACCTCACCCCTTACCAAAATGTAGCTAATAACTGATACAATGATACTGTCATAAGGAAAATCTAGACACCCCGTGTTCAATTTGAGTAGAATATTCTGTAACCATGGAAACGTGATTTTAGCTGTGTATTTAAAACCAGTAAATTTTAAAAAGTTACTCCAAAATTCGCTTGAAGATGAAATGGAACTAATGCTTTTAATTTATTTGCAAAAATAAAATTAGGGTTTTAGCTTCTATTTTTGAAACATGGTTGGAACTGTGTAGCGAAAATAACCATATTTTAAATCAATTAATTTTATATATATATATATATATATATATATATATATATATATATATATATATATATATATATTGTTCAAAATTGCATTTGAATCTAAAATCAAAACTGAAAACAAGTTTTTCATAACTTTTTTTTTTTTTTTTTTGCCTCATTTTTTGCAACATACAAAATGTAGTTACATTGCACACTAATAATGTAAATGAATTTATTGTGGATTTGGTGCAATAGAAACTAAATCAATTGCATTTAGGTCACCTAATCTTTTTCCTTTAAGTATTAAGTTCTCTGTACAAAACTCATGACCTTTTGATGAAAATGTTCAACATAAAGTTGAAAATTAAGCTTTTTTTTATTTAAACATACTATTTGGACAAGGGTTAGGAATGAATTCATTAACTTTGAAACATACAATCTCAAATGGTGTTATCTGTTGCTAAATAAATAACAATTGCAAATTCCACAATGCTGGCTTGTAAGTTTTAAACTTGAGTTTTTGTTATTCAGGTAAATGCCTTTTGGAATTGGGTGGAAACAATGCATTAATTGGTAAGTTAGACACTTTTGTTATAACTTATAATTTTGTGTAACTTAGTTTTGTACAATCTATAAAAGCTTTTAACTGTAAACTGTTTAAAATAATTCTAGTAATTTGTCAATTGTTCTGTTTGAATTCTCACATTCATTTATGCACAAATACCCTTGGAAAATGTATAAATCGACTCCCCTTACTCCTAGCTATGGGTTGAATAGCAGGACTTGTATCTGTGTGTGTGGGGGGGGGAATCGATGTCTTAAGCCCCACCTTCTCTTTGAACTGAAGATAATTCCTGTAATTTGGTCTAAAATGTCAACTCTTAATTGAATATTAATAGAATGTAAATAAGATTTTGCATGTTTGAAAAGATTTCTTTATAGTTCTAATTACATAAAACATTCATACCTTATAAATAAGTAAACTTTTTGTATCTTTTTAAAGTTAATTATTCAATTATATAAATGTTGTGCTTTCCTTAACAGTTAACGAAGATGCTGACCTTGATATGGTTGTACGTTCAGCTTTATTTGCTTGTGCTGGAACTGCTGGTCAAAGATGCACCACAACCAGACGTTTAGTAAGTTTGAAACTAAAATAAAATCTCGCTTGCATATTGTATCCTGAAAATATTTTATAAAATGTGATAATTTATCACTGCAACAAGGATAAATGAAAATATATGTAAAACAAAAATTGCAAGGAGAACCTCTTACCACTACAGCACAGTTCTAAAGTAAACAATAACATGCACTCTACAATGCACAAGCAGAACTACATGCTGTACATTTTCATGCAACTTGTTTTAGTATTATTGCACACTTGTTTTATTAAAAAACAAAAATTACAATACAGTGAAAACTCTGATCATGAATTAAATTTGTTCTTGAATACCATTCATGACTCAAAATGTTTGTAAATCCAAACTATTTTCCTAATATTAATCCATGTAAAATAGATTACTCCATTCCTAGATCCCAGGCGATTGCTTATTTATACTTTTGCAACAAGACTGTGCACAAGTTCATGTACAAATGGAAATTATTACTAAACGGATAAAATATAGGCAAAAACTTAATTTACAGATTGTTGGTGAAGGGGAGATATTATCGTTTGGAAGTCTCCTGTCATAAAAAAAATCAGCACTCGAGATGTTTTTTTTTTTTTTGTCGTTGTTTGTTGGCTGAACAGATTTGTTCATGAGACGTTTGTGACTGAGGTTCCAATGTTTTTTGTTTTTTTTTTTCTCATCAGCTTTGTAACAAATTATTCACTTTGCAACATTAGTATTAGTTATTCATAACTTTTTTTTTTTTTTTTTTTTTTTAAACTGAACTTAAAAATTCAAAAGTAATGATTCATAAGCTGTTTTTTACCTGTGATATAGATGAATTTAAAATTTTCTATATTTATGGGAGGGAATCTTTGCTAAGATAACATTTATAAATGTAAACCTTTTCTCTCTGTAAAGTGTAGCTTTTTTTTTTTTTTTTTTTTTTTTTTAGAATAAAATCAAAACCACTTTTTTATTATTAGCTTATATAAAGTGCCACGTTTATAAAATACATCTTAAGATTTTTTTTTTTTCTATCATCCTTAAGCATTTCTTTTTTTATAAAATAAAACTTTAAAAAATGTGGAATGTTCTGCATGAAATTTCTTTTGATAATTAAGTTTTATAATTCTTCTGACTAGTCATAAGATTAAACTAAGTTTGATTCTCTTGAGAGGTCTATTTACTGCATTGTTCTAATCAATTAAAATCTCTGTTGTTGCAAACTACTGGGGCAGACAGCTGCAATTGCACCAAATGATGCTACTTCAGTGTTAGCAGAAAATGAATATTGTCTTTGTAGGGCTGGGTTGCTAGCTTGATGCTTAACTGGAACGGTATAATGGGTTCCCTACACATCTACATAATAGATAGAATTGAATTCATTTCCCCTTTCCCAAGGTTGTTTACTATAAAGTGAATGCAAATTCTTTTATTTGGTTTGTCAATCATTAGGCCTTCTGCACTTCCAAATATTAAAATATTTATAAAGCAATATTTTTCTCTTAGTTGATGAAAACAATTTTTCCTTTATAGATTTTGCATGAAAAGGTCTATGATGAAGTTGTGCAGAAATTAGTGAAAGCCTATGCTCAGCTCCCTATTGGAGATCCCATTGAACGTAAGTATAAAGTTGGACTTATTTTTTTATTTCTTAACCATCCAATCTCATACTATAGTTAATAAATGAAATCTAACTTGTTCCAAATATCGAGCCCTTCTTCCAACCTCAACATTTTGCTCATCTAAGAATCTCACCAGTTTATCAAAAGTTATTGCCATTGTTGATCTTTTCATAAATGTCTAAAAGTCAGATCCAATCTTTATTAAAGACCTTTTTTTCTTTTCTCTTCCTTCTCCTCTTTTTTTCCTCTTGTCTTCCACGTCCTTTTTTTTTTTTTTCTTGTCTTCCACGTTTTTTTTTTTTTTTTTTTTTTTTCTTTCCTCTTGTCTTCCTCGTCCCTTTTTTTTTTTTTTTTTTTTTTTTTCTCTTGTCTTGTCTTCCCCCTCTTCAATTTCTGCTGTTATTTTCCAGCTGGTGTTCTTTATGGTCCAATGCACAGTCAACAAGGTGTTAAACTCTACTTGAAAACGATCTCTGATGCACTTAACCAAGGTGGAAAGATTGAATATGGTGGTAAGGTAAGCCTGACAACATTTTATGAAGCCATCTTGTATGATTAATAATTTAGCTTGTAAAGTTTACTTGTCTAGTACGGATGCCCTTATTGTTTAGTTTTACACCTGTTTTGAACTTTCTTAATTTCTAAAATTTTATTCTCATTACTCAATTGTGCAATATCTTCTCTTTTGAATCCATCTTATGACCAATGGACATCTTTGTTTGAAATTAAATATCAATAACTCATATGTATGAACTGGTTACTTGATGTCGTTAGATTTTGTATAGGTTATTACAAATATTTCTAATAAAATACAAGCTGAAATTCACTTGGTATAGTTATATGAATATAACCTGTAAAATAAAATCTAATATGGTGAATGTCTTTGTACTGAAGATATTGAATCTTTTCAGGTAGTATTTCAATCTTGGTATCTTTATAATACGTTTTCATATATAATGAAGTCTTTATTTTTAATTTTACCATATACACCAAAAATAAAAATGTAAGCTGACTTGATAATACATTAACTGATATTTGAATTTTACCTTTTGTTCCACACTTAGAATAAACTGCAGATGTTGTTTACGTATTTAGACAGAAGTAACTGATCTGTTTTGTGGTTATGAATGACAACTTTCATTTTGATTTTCTTGATTTTAAAAAATTGTTTGGGGGTAAAAAAAACAATTTTTTTTTCTTTCCCTGACCACCTTCAGTTACCAGAATACATAAACTCGGATGTAATTGTTTTTTGCATTCATTCAGACATTTTTATCTTTTAAACACTGAGGTTCTGTTGTCAAGCCACACTGTTTTAGTCATGAGCTGCAATCTGCAGCTTCTTTAAAGTGATAGAAGTTGGCAAAAATAATTGTGCTACATGGAATTCTACTCAAAACTGAAGATTGAGGAAGGATGGAGAGGGTCATGATTTTTTAAAAATTATCTTCGCAAAACTTGGGTTGCTCAATTGTTGTCTTAAATTTTGTTTTCATATAACATTTCATTTCTTGACAGTATTTGTCCTGGGTTCAGGTAGGGGATCTTTTCAGGGAATATTTCAATCTTAGTATTTTCAGAATTTGTTTTATCTGAGATATATACCAATGTATATTTTACCGTTATATAATTCAAGTGGATCCTAGTAATATAAAATACTAGCAGCGTTGCCCGTGCTCGATTCAAAAATAGTACGACTAATACAGCAATCGCTATCACTTAAAATATTTTTGCTCTTCCTTGCCTTTAGAGGAGTGCCCTTTGCCGTGCTGATGTTGTTACATGCCTTACTTCTTGCCTATCACACACTGCCAACTTTTTCTAAGCTCTATAGTAAACATTAAATCTGTTACGAAAAAAGAACTAAACAAAAACACAATACGATCAGCTTTAAAAAAACGGAAAAAAACATTTTTATGGGTTGACCGATTGTCGATTTGCACTCTTTGGGTGGCACTCAGTTGAAACTTCACATGATGACTCCCAAAGGCCTCTTCATAAATCCGCTCAGTTTTTGCTAAAAACCGACATGCAGTTCAGACGCAATCTGGACATATCGGTTTTGGGGTTTTATTGATTTTCCGCGCTGTTTAGGGGTCCGTGGTCATGAAACTTCTGGACAACACTTCTAATGGTAGACTCTAAGAGAGTGTCAAACTTGGTTGAAATGCGATCATTCCTTCTGTAAGCAGAATTTTTTTCGATTTTTGGAACCTGATTCCGAACTCAAAAATTGGGCTCTGTCATGTCCTTACGGCAGCCATTTGCAAACTTGTGTTGAAAACCGCATTGAAATCTGGTGAGAAATACGGCCTGGGTGAGGTAACAATGCCCACGACAGACAACATGAGAAACATAGATAGATTAAAACTGATCCACAAAAAGAGCTCAATGTATTATTACAAAGTAAATAATTAGTACACAATAAAATCCAAAATCACCTCATATGGGGAATAAGCTTATTTCAACTGACAAAATTCGTCGGTACATACCTAGGTTGAATAAGACTGATAAATTTCATGGGTTGAAATAAGCTTATTTTCCCATATGAGATGATTTGAGATTTTATTGTAGGGGGGTGTGTATATATATATATATATATATATATATATATATATAAATATATAATTTTTTTTTTTTTTTTTTTTCACTTTAGCTATAGACATGTCAACATGCCTGGTTAATTTTAGCTCCATAAAATAGGTGTCTGAAAAAAAAAACTGACATATTCTTTGTTAATTTTAAATCAATTTCTGAATCATGACTTTATGAAAACTAGAGAAATTACTTACTATTTTTTTTTTCTCCTCACAGCAACTTGAGCGACCTGGTAACTTTGTGGAACCAACAATTATTACAGGCCTTGCACATAATGCTGATGTTGTTATGAGAGAAACTTTTGCTCCAATTGTCTACGTCCTGAAATGCAAGGTATATCTCATGTTTCCTTTTAAAACTAGTTTCTAAAGTTTGCATCAAACATCTGTATTGCTAATATTTCATGTTGAACAAATTAAATAATTCTATGTTCTCTCTGAAAACTTGTCTGGTTACAGGTCTCACTGTTATTCAAAAATAGTTTTACTATGAACCCATGTCAAAATGATGCAAAGTGAAGAAGTAACATTTAATTTTTACACTGAAAAATATAAACCATCTTTATTATTAAACCAACCAAATCTTCAGCATATGTGAATTTGCGGAAACAAGCTTTGATGCAGCTAATGATTTTAAAATGAAGTCTTCATTTAATTCTATCTGACATTAATATATGAAAAATTTAAGTTTCCCTTTTGATGATAAAATCTGAATCTTCTTGAAGGAATTTGAGAAACATTTCCGCAGAAAGCTTAATATTTACAAGATTTTTACCTGTTTTTATTTCTTTTCAGTCTGTTGATGAAGCCATTGTCTGGAATAATGAAGTGAAACAAGGTTTGACAAGCAGCATCTTCACCAAAGATTTAGGAAACATCTTTAAATGGCTCGGGTAAATTAACAATTTCTTTACGTTGCCAAAGTAAAATAGTTTTTATTGGTGCTTCCGAATAAAATACACGTTTTATTTATGATATATATAAACTTGTCTCCCGGTTTATAAATAAGGGAAGTAACTCTGCCTAATTTGTGGTAAGTAATTTTGTAAAACGCCTCCTCTCTATCCCCCAAGTAAAATACTGTTTATCTTAAAGTACAGGACTGTATTTTTACTACTTATACCTAGTTTGAATTGTACTATAGTGTTATTTAAAACCAGTTAAAATTTCATGACTTAATTTTTTTTATCAAATTGCAGTCCCAAGGGTTCTGACTGTGGCATTGTCAATGTGAACATTCCTACCAGTGGAGCAGAAATTGGTGGAGCTTTTGGTCAGTATTCTGCACAGCGTTCCTTCTCTTCAAGATCTTCTCTCATAGGATTGCCAGAGATAGATATATCAAATATGTGGTGCAGTTCAATTTATATTACAATGAATCATTCATACAAAAAGTAGATTAGTAAAGTTAATGATATAAAATGGCAAAATCCTTTCGCAAACCAAATTTTAAAGGTGCATTAACCTACAAATCACTCGATGAATGTTATGATCCTTGTTTTTGAAAATTATAAATTGTATAAGATGTTTATCTAATACGCAAGTACTTCCAACTATAATGTACAGTTGAAAGTACTTGCGTATTAAATAAAGACCTTTATACAGTTTATAATTTTTAAAAACAAGGATCATAACATTCATCGAGTGACTTGTAGGTTAATGCACCTTTAAAATTTAGTTTGTGAAAGGATTTCGCCATTTTTATATCATTAACTTTACTATCTACTTTTGTATATATATATATATATATATATATATATATATATATATATATATATATATATATATATATATAATCAAAAAAACACTTTACATCACTACACAAAAACTTTCATGTTTCAGAACTATATAATAATTCCCCTTTGGGCGATTGTAGATAACATGATAAAAATGATTTTAGGAAATTTGAAAACCAATTGTTACCTCTTTTGATAGTTAAAAAGTGGGAGGCTAAGGTCATAATTAAAAAATGTATTTGTGGGCATGTCTGGATTAACCAATTATTTTTTAATTCTGACCTTATTCTCCCAACCAATTTTTTTTTTTTTTTTTTTTTTTTTTTTTTTTCTTTCAAGAGGTAATGATTTGTTTTTTTTCAAATTTCCCAAATAAATCCATTTTATCATGTTATCTACCATTGCCTAAAGAGGAACCCTTACAGTTCCGAAACATGAAAGTTTTTGTGTAGCAATGTAAAATATTTTTATTGTAATTTATTATATTTTGCTCTACTTTGTATTGAGCACTTTTTTAAAAGTAAATGCTAAGAATTTCTCTATAAATCCCTTTCAAGGAAAAAAAAAAACCATTCTGAAGGCATTCTGCCTCTGTCTAACATGCCCTATGTAGCCTTGGTTTATTGCTCTTCTGTTAAACTGTTTCCCGTCATTGATGGAATTTCTTGTATGCAAAGATGATGCATATCTTTAACAGAATTTTTTAATTTTATTTTTAAGTTGGTCAGCTTCTGTAGATATTACCTAGCAGGACATGTCAAAACAAGGATGCCATCAACTGATTGAGTCACTAAAAATGAAAGATTTTACTGCTAAATAGTATTTAATAAACCATAACTGAATTAAATACAAGACTTATAGAATGGAAATGATTAGATGTAAAGTTTACTAGTTTTATTTCTGAAACTCAAGATTTTAGAAACCAATTTAAAGCAAATTTTCATGTTACTATTTTTTAATATCTGCTGAAAAATTTTGCATGAGTTTTTGTGAATACACAAGTTTTACAGATGGAGTAAAGACAGCTGATGGTCTCTATTGTCTCAAAGTGTGCACACATATATGTATATAATGTATTGCATACACATTCTATAAAAAAACTAGAGGATAATGCCTTTGTAAGTAAATTGCTCAATATTGCATTATGGGTAAACAAAGAAATTCAAAAACTTACCTTCTGACTTCAACTTTTGATGTACTCCACTTATCAGGTGGGTTAAATTGTATTTATTAACAGCTTTAAACTATCTAATCCCCTTAAGATTATATCTGCAAAACTTGAAGACAGACAAGTTTTTTAACACTTTGAACTTTATTTAAATCATAAGATTTGACCTTCCTTCTGATCTAAATAATCTACCTTCTACACAAAGCTGTAGATAAAAGGTCATACCTAATTCTTTCATTCTGGTTTGGAATTTAATTTTTGCTTATCAGTTAATATGATCAGTAAAAGATGTACTATAATTTAAATTGTTTCTTCAATATTGTATCTTGAATAATTATTTGTCTCTCCACAATAGCTAAACTGCTTAAAGAAAAATTATGCATATTTATAATTCTTTGAGTTAAATTCTAATTTCAACCTTGATATATTAAAATTCAAATTTGTAGGTGGCGAAAAGCACACTGGAGGAGGCAGGGAATCTGGCAGTGATGCCTGGAAGCAATATATGAGACGTTCTACTTGGTAAGTGTTGTTGCTTTTTGTTTTATTTCTTTTGTTTGCCAAATTAGGTTTTTCTAATTTACTAATTGAAACTTAACGCTTGTATTTTGCTATTATCTTTTTTAAAAAAAAAATTGTATTAACACTGGAATAAATCTTTAATATTTGTAACTTGGACTCTAATATTGTTTCAAATTTAACAAAATGAATGAAACTGATTTCGGTTGTCTCCCTTGATTATAATTATCTCCCTTTATTCCTCAACCATAATGCATGCTTTCATACTATATTAATATATCTAATAATTGCATATTTATTTTTCTCTCTCCAGTACAATCAACTACAGTAAAGAACTTCCTCTCGCACAAGGAATCAAGTTTGAATAGAGGAAGACCTGGCTTCCTGTAACAATTCTTCAATGGTCTGCTTTCTTGTCAAGATGTGTGAATAGTCTGAAGAACTTCTGTTCTCTCTGCATTTACTCTAGTCTAGATTAATTATAGACTCTGATGCTAATAATGCAAGTTGGGGGTTATTCTATTGCTAAACACCATCTACCAAGATGCAGTACTTCTGCACCCAACTGCTGCACAATTATGAAAGGTAATTCAAAAAATAAAAAATACCACAGTTATGCATTGACTGAATTGGTGGATTTCAATTCTCTCTAATATTTTTGTATATTACAGGAATCAATAAAATAAAAAAAATGAATTTTGTGAAATTGTATTTTAAATTTCTTTCTGTAACTTTTCATATAATCATTTAATTTAACCTTATACTTGACTTCAATACAACTGTTGAAAATTCTGCACATAACAATATTGAAAATTTAGTTTAAGCCATATATGCTCAAAATGTTGAATACTTCTCTCCATTTCAAAAATAGTTTATAGTGAACTTCATGTTAATGGTTTCATTAGTGCTAAAAAAAAAACCTAACAATTTTCCTTTTAAATTTTACTGATGTCAGAGAAAGTAAGTTCAAGTTTTGTGTGAGATATATAATCATAAACAATTTTAGGGGAAAGAAGCATGACAGTGGAAAAAGTTTTTGACATATTTTGTCCTTTTTAGGACTTCTTCAGACTGTTTACATTGATACGACTATACATGCGCATGAAGAAACGCTGGGAATTTAAAAAATTTTTGGTTTGGGTATCTATATTTTATACATGTGCACACACAAATACTCAGTATCATTTTAAAATAAATTTATCTGTAATTTGTTGAAGGTATGAAAGACAGTTATCACCAGTTAAATATCAAGCTAAAAACTGTGACCTTTACAGCTTCAAGGTCAGTGATAATTTTAACTGGCAGTCAACTTGTTTTCAGCAATATTTCATAGATTCAGTAAAATATAAATACATAATCTTTTTTTTTTTTTTTTTTTTTTTTTTTTTGTCCTCTTTAACACCTCCCAATAAAGTTCATGGTCAAAGGACAATGAATTTAGATCATTAATCAAATCATAGTAGAAAGTTCAATGTTGATTAGTAGCAAAATGTTTCACGTTTCAAATATGAATTGTAGGGAAGTTTCCATCCTTCAGGCTACAAAAGTACTACACACTTGGCTCAACAATTTCTCATTGAGAAACATTGAAATTACTTTTTTTGTCTTAACTTTCCTGCCCTGTCACAAGTACTCTACATGACCACATCCATAAAGTATCTAATGATGACATCTCGCTATTTATAATTGATTTGATTGGTATGCTAATACTTTTGCAATATATGTTAAAATGTAATAACGTGAACAAGTACTGATGTGTGTGTGTTGTTAGACTCTCCCATGTCAACCTAATTCTGTTTTTATGTTTGTCATATGACACTTCAGTCTCACTAGTGACCTGCATACAAGTCCACATATTGTTCAACAATGTGGATCTCAACATAGTTGCAAGATTTGCTGACTTTCTCACCGTTGTCTTTTGTCTCTTAGCTGGTCAATACGATGGATTTCAAAATTTCTGATACTACTATGACACAAATCTCCAGTTATTTCTATCCGGGGCAACTTGTTCAAAGCTAGTATGAGACATGCCGAGAGGTTATTCTTTAGTTAAGATACAGCCGTCCAACAGTCCAATGTCATGCTGGCTATACATGAGGACCTTTATGTATTGTCGTCACTTATACTTGCAATATGGCCAGCCCAGTGAAGTTGTGGCTGCATTAGTAAAGTCTCAATTCCACCAATGTTGTGTTATATATCTCGGTTTTAAGACGTTAAGTCCTTCGCAATGAGCTTTTTCTCTTACTGCCTACTTTAAGATGATGGCATAATTTTCTTTTTCCGAGGTTTGCTTTTGCACTAAAGTTATCACAAAAGCTTCTTATCCCCTTTTCACATTAGATTCAGGGGACTAAAAGGTTGTTGGCTTCCCACTCTTTTCTTCATCTCTTAAACTCATAGATTTCTTATCTTTATACCTATTAAATTATTACACAACTTGCTTGGTTATAAAGCCTCATACCAGTTGATCAACAGTACCTTAACATATCTCGCTAAACATGGACTAATTGGAGACCAAAACTGCAATTGTGGAACAACTAATTAACGTGTTTTGGCCTAACTACTACTAAAAGTCAGGGAATCAAGTTGAGTTTTCAGCATGCTCCCCTCCCACCAGAACAATTTTTTTTTTTTTTCATTTTATAACTTTCACATGTACAAATCTCATTAATTTAAGATATTTTCAATTTAAATTGCCACATTTTCAAATTATCTATAAAAGGCAGGATGTGTGTGTGTGTGTGTGTGAGACAAATGCATGCCCGCGATTTTCAATGGATTTGCACCAAAATTTACATAGTGGAAATAATCTATATTTTTTTTTTTTTTTTTTTTTTTTTTTTTATGTAGTTTGCGGCCATTTTCTACTGGCCAGCATGAGAGCCAACAGATGACTGACACGAATGTTAACTAGCATGCAAAAAAAATCAATAGCTGTATTTGTCACAAGTGGGGGGGATTTAAATCTGCATGGCACTTTACTCCAATTGAATTGGCTCATTCACTTGCTTAAACTCAATGTTGATTTCGATTCCGCAGAACTGGGTTGGGTGTGAAAAAGTATTTGTTGTTAACAATCTTTTTTCACTCGGCTTTTCCAGTTACAAGTCCTTTTTAAAGCTGATCATTTTGTGTTCATTTTGTTTAGTTTTTTTTTTTTTTTTTTTTAACAGATTTAATGTTTAGTATAGAGCTTAGAAAAAATTTGCAGTGTGAGATAGGCAAGAAGTAAGGCATGTAGCAACATCAGCACAGCAAAGGGCACTCCTTTTAAAGGCAAGGAAGGGCAAAAATCAAGTGATAGCTATTGCTGTATGAGTCGTACAATTTTTGAATCGAGCACGGGCAACGCCAGGCCATGCTGCTAGTCTTTTCTAAATAGCAATGTTGTAGCCATGGTAACTATTTTTCCAAGTCCCCATCCCCACTTGTTCTGGTATTCTTGCTGAATATAATGTTAACAGAAAATTTTAAACACCCAACTAGTTTTCACATATTCAATATTACATACTTTAAGATATTTCATTTCGGTCACACACACACACACACACACACACACATATCTCACAGCTGACTGGTTTTGCCCTCACTCAACAGACCTGGAGCAAGGGATTATATATTGCAATAAACATAAAAACAATATGTAGTAGAAGGTGGGATGCAATCTAAATAGAAATCTCGTTTTAGTCCTAACAGATGCATTAATACTACATATCGTTTTTTGTTTTATTTTCTTGGAATATTTAATCCCTCAATCCGGCTCTGTTGAGGGTGAAACTGGTCGGCTGTGTTTTTTTTTTTTTATTATTTTTCACTCTTTTTGATCATGAAGAGTAAAATAAGTCTAACCTTTTTTTTTTATTGCTATAATAAAATTCTGTATCCTGCAGAAAATTACGAAATATATATAAACTTGCTTCCCTTTTAAGGAAAGCACACTTTCTTCTTCAGATATATCTCAAATATGCAGGTAGCCTGACCCATTTTAAAATGGGGGCATCTATTTCAAATACAAGTATTCACCTATAATAATGTTTGATATAATAAAAATGTTAGAGTAAAAATAAATCCATTATTTCTTTAGAAATTGCTTTGTTTCTGATACAAAACTAAGCAGATATAGGCTTTTGAGAAAAGTATCTGATTGAGGAAGTGCTTTCCTTAAAAGGAAAATACAGCCTCACTGAAGTATGAGACTCTGTAGCTGTGTTGTAAAGCATGCTGGATCAAATGGTGGTCTCTCTTACAAATATACCCCTCCCCCTTAAAAAAAAAAAAGGAATTTGCTCACCAATGGCAGATTAAAAAATTGTCACCCCCCCCCACACACACACACACAATCTATAAATGTTGTTGGGCCAGTACATTTACCAAACCAATTTTTTTTTTTTTTTTCTTTTTTGCCTTGATATTTTAAGTTAAATGCATTTCACTTTCAAAGTGCTGTAGATTGAACAATGACCTTTTATATAGATTTATTAATCACTTTAACCACTGAGGTATTCATCCAGTGTTGCAAGATATTAGCATTAGTAACTTTTTTTTTTTTTTTTTTTTCCCATTCCTTTGTCTGTGTACTTCTAAAGTCAGTTCATTAATTCTTCACAACCAGCTGTTACTGCTACTGTTACAGCAGCACAATTGTAACTTGAATCAATATTTGGTCAGGCTTCTCTGCTTAGTCCAGCTCACAACCCCTCTGTGCATTAAGCTAAGACTGACTGCAGCCATTCGCCTGCTTGTTTGGTCACTCCTGAAAAATGGCTATTTTATATTGCCTGCTACTTTTAATGGCTACTACCATAAGAACTGGCCAGGATTTGTAGTCGCTGCAATGGAAAAACAACTTTGCAAGAGTCCGTTATCTTGATTAGATAACACTTATATTTGCAGCATGTTCTGTAGAGTTTTTGCCTGGAAACAGGTCTTGTGGTCCTGATAAATAAAATGTGAAATAGTATTCAGACCTAGAACATTGGTCCCTGTCATGGTTGACTATGGAGGTAACAGCTCTTTGTTGCTATTGTCTGGTTAGATAAGATATGGGGAAAATAGTTTGGTCAACTGCTGTCTCGTTTCTTTGTCAGCCAGTATGGCATCAGTGATGAGATGTCACTTCATTTTCTGCTTTCCTATACACTACAATGTCAATCATCTTTTTGTCTTCTTGAATGCTGTTCTTTTATTGTCCTCACTGATTCTTTCATTCTCGGTAACATCTTGCATCCTAGTGGCTTTTACTGCCTTGTTACCTAAAATTTAAAAAAAACAAAGTCCTGCAATAGTTTTATACTTCTAAAATTTGAATACCTACATAATATATACATCAATGTTATTTAACTTGTTTGGACACATGACCTATGCT